GAGGTGGGGTGGGGATTGAGGTAGGGACATAGGGCATAGCAGGAGGTGCGACCACCTCCTCCTCCTCCACCGCCTCCTCAAGAGTGATCGGGAAGTGAGAGGGAAGGGGCTCATAGGGCATTGGACGCCCCCCATGCTCTTGCCGATGCCACGCCTTCCATCCTGCCAAGGACATGGTCTCATAGAACACAGCTTCCACAGTGGTGATGAGGCGGTTGGACTCCAAGTCCAGCACGGTCCAGCCCTTGCTCGCTGCGGACACCCCCAAGTGCAACCCCCAGCGAGCCTTAGGTGCCAGCTTCCCCCCCCGCTGCGACTGAGGCAACATGTACTGCACCATGCAGCCCCATACCCGCACCATACTGACATCGGGTTTGTGTCGAAAGGCGAGCTCGTACGGCGTCACACCAGAGGGCAGCGAGGCGTGCTCCACGCGGTTGCGCACCCAGACGGCCTGCGCCAACGCCAGGTGCCACCAATGATGCTGTACACCCATGTGCAGTAGCATCGTCCGCACCGCCTCCACAATGCTGCGCATCTCCCTCTCGGCCATCCCGTTCTGCTCCGGCGTGTACGGGCACGTGAGGTCATGGATGATGCCTTTGCCGTCGAGGAAGAGCGTGAAGTCATGCCCCAGGAACTCGCCACCCCGATCAGTGCGCAGCGCCTGCACCGTGGTCTTGCACTGCCGCTCTGCCATCGGGAGCCACTTCTGAAACGCCGCCAGCGCATCACTCTTCTGAGCCAAAGGGTAGGCCCAGACGTACCGCGACTTGCGATCCTTCAGCACCAGGAAGTAGCGGCTGCCGTCCTTAGCTGTTTCACGGAAAGGGCCACACAGGTCAGCATGCACCACTCCAAGCAACTCATCCTCCTCCGCACCCACTGAAGGAAAGGTTTGACGGACGAGTGATCTTCCCCCCAACACAGGAGACACACGGTATGCCTGACTTGCCCCCCTTCTCCAGGTCCAAGCCCTTCACTGACCCGTGAGACGCAGTGCGCTCGATGGCATCAACGCCAACGTGTGCCATACGTGCATGCCACATGTCCACCTTAGACCGCACGCCCGTCGTCAAGGTACGAAGGGCCACCGTTTCTCCTTCCTGCTGCTGCGTCGAACACGGCTGGAAGTTCGTGCAGAGAACACGCCCCTTGAACTCTGCACGCCCAAGAAGCGACCCATCTGGTGCCCGCAGCAGAGTCACGTCGCCTGCATCCAGCAGCTGCACGCCACTATCACGCAGCTGCCCAGCAGAAAGAAGACTCGCCTGCACTCCAGGTACGTACAGCACATCCGGCACCAAGAGACGCCTGCCCCCTTCTCCAAGAAGAGCGACTGTGCCTCGCCCCTGCACGTCCTGAAGCGCGCCGTTGAAGCCTTTCACTTGTTTGATACTACCGCCGCTGCTCATCTCCACAAAGGCAGAACGATCTCCCATGAGATGGTGGGAGCATCCGCTATCAAGTAGCACGACGCTCGGGTTCGCCTTCACAGCAGCTGCAAGAGCCTGTAAGCCCTCCCCGGCCTCAGGCTCCAGCACGACAAGAGGAGTCTGCTCTACAACGGGCTTCACCATCGCACATGATGACTGCCCGCTCCCCTTAGAGCCATCGCCCCCCTTGCCACTCGCGCCGCTGCCTCCAGAACCCTCTCCACCCGTGTCTGCCTCCTTATCTGCCCGCTGCTGACAGTACTTAGCAACATGCCCTGTCTGTCCACACACGTAGCACTTCCCCTTGAAGCCACCTTTCCCCCCCTTTGGCTGACCATCCTTAGCCCCTTTCCACTTCTCTCCTCCACCTCCAACCCCACCCCCAGTCTTAGGCTGCTGCTGCTGTGCCGTAGTGGGAGGGGAAGGGGATGAAGTCTGCTGGGATTGGGGCTTACCCTTCTTGGTAAAGACCTGGTTGGCCTGGGGAAGAAATTGGTCCTTCCGTCCCTCCGCTGCCAGCGTACACTCCTCCTCGATAATGTAGCTAGCGAGGGTGTCCTCGTCCAACTCCTTGCGTACCTGCGGCAGCTTCAGCATCCTGCGTAAGAGGTTGTACTGTTGTGGCAACCCCTTCACGACATGAGTAATGTAAGACGCCTGCGAATAATCTACGCCGGCCATCCTCAAGTTCACTAGGATCTGCTGTGCACGGTTGCAATAGGATGTGGCGGACTCGTGCTCTCCCATCTCGAGGTTAGTGAGCGCTTGCTCTAACTGACCTATATACAGGTCGTCTTTCGCTTGATACGTGCGCATGATAAACTGCCACGCGTGGAAGCCGGCATCTACCTTCATGCGACACGCCTTAAGGGCGATCTGTACGGTTGGGGAGCAGCATCGGGAAATCGTGGTGAACGTTAGTAACTGCATGGCGCGAAACTGTGTGAGAAGCACCACTGCGTGTGCTGGGGGAATAGGAGTGGTACCGTCGATGAAACGCTTTAGCTGAGCGATCTCAAGCTGCGGCTCGATCGATTCTACCCATGTCGACAGGTCGTGGCGTCCTTCGAGTGGCCTAGGCACGACGATTTTGTCTGGAGTGAATTTGAAGAAGCCATAGTTGGGGGCTATTCCCTCGTCCCTCGACATCGATCCAATCGGGGTAATGCCTGGCATAGCTCCACTATCGTACTCCTCCGCATTCCCTCCTCCAGCAACGCTCTGTCGTCCTACGTTCGCACGCTCGTGTGACGCCGCTGCGCGATGAACACGCTCCTGTATACCACCGACGCTAGCCGTACTAAACCGAGTCGTTCCTCGCAGGACCCCACGCGACACCAACCCATCAAACTCCTCGTCATCGCCATCTCCGCCATCAACAGCCATATCCCACGCACTAGTTCCTCCCGCGGCTTGCTCTACACGTGGCGAGGGACGATCGCGACGCTGACGAGCGCGTATTCCCTCCAACATGAGCTCGTAATCTTCACTACTAAGCTCACCACGAGAGCGACGAGCCACGAGGTCCTCCTCTAATGCGCGGAAATTATCGGCCTCCACGTTCGCCTCCTCCGTACTCATCCTTTACGACGCCTCTATAAGGTACCACAAATTAAAATAAATTGTCCCTTCCTTAAATCCCTCGTCTCGGGGTCACCTCACAAGGGTCCTCAGACGAGTGGTAATAAATTACCAAACGCCCTATCCTTGGGTCCGAGAACGTAACTGGAGGGACATTAAGAAAAATTCAACTTAAATTAATAAGCGCCCTTCACTAACGCCGCACGCCAAGGCGAGTATACGAACGTCACTATAATCGACGACGGAAATCTATGCGTGTTCGTTCCACGCTCACCGCACCATGAAGGAATACTATGGAGAGCACTACGACGGCGAGAGAGATTCTGCTTATGGGAATGATGTTGCGCTAGGAATTCGGTAGCGTTGGTCTCAAAAGACTAAGTGAGAATTTGAGTAGAGATTGAGCTTCACTAGGAAACTAGAATATATGAAACACACAAGCAAACACAAACATATAAAGGCAAGCAAGCGTTCACAAAAGGTAGCGAGGGCGCTGCGAGTAACCCAACCCACACGAAAGTGCTGTGGGAGTTGGCGAACGCGCCCCGCCAAACTTCCATCCAACTCAGCAGCGAAAACCTTCCGAGCACGCAACTCCATCCGACTCAGCTTGGGAGTGGCGTGCCTCATAAGGAAGCACACAAAGACTCCCACGACTCTACTTCCCAGCACCGACTTCAGCAGATTCCTTACTGCAGCTCGCATTCACCCGTAGTCACACTTGACTGCCATCGAACCTGTGCGACGGTGCCGAGTAGACCAGGTCGTCGGTCGTCAACCTGCCAAGTCTAACATTTCGCGAGGGCCCTTGCTGTCGTAGGGCCCTCTAACACTTCCTCTCGTTTTCCCCTCAGCTCCCCCTGGTTTCTCCCCTGCTTCCCCTCCTTCCCGCCTCCGCTTCTACTCATTCCCCCCTCCTCTTCTCCTCATTCCCCTTTCCGCTTCTCCTCATTCCCCTTCCGCTTCTCCTCATTCCCCCCTCCGCTCCCCTTGTTTTCCCCTCTGCTTCTCCTCATTCCACCCTCCGTTTCTCCTCATCCCCCCCCCCCCCGCTTCTCCTCATTACTACCCCCGCTTCTCCTCAATCCCCCCTCCGCTTCTCCTCATTCCCTCCCCCGCTTCTCCTCATTCCCCCCTCCGCTCCCCTTGTTTTCCCCTCTGCTTCTCCTCATTCCACCCTCCGTTTCTCCTCATCCCCCCCTCCGCTTCTCCTCATTCCCCCCTCCGCTTCTCCACATTCCCTCCCCCGCTTCTCCTCATTCCCCCCTCCGCTTCTCCTCATTCCACCCTCCGCTTCTCCTCATTCCCCCCTCCGCTTCTCCTCATTCCCCCTCCGCTTCTCCTCATTCCCTCCCCCGCTTCTCCTCATTCTCCCCTCCGCTCCCCTTGTTTTCCCCTCTGCTTCCCCCTGGGACTTCACATTCTCTCTGTGCTTCTCTGTCCCCTGGTCCCCCATGCGCAACCCTGTGCCCAACAAGGGGTGGACGATGCAGGCCGCTTGCTGTGTCTCTTGGTACCTTAATAGACTGCCCCTCACCCTCACCCTGCGCCCGCTGTGCCCCCTCTGTCCCCTCGGCCTCCCCATGCCTTCCCATGCCTTCCCATGCCTTCCCATGCCTTCCCATGCCTTCCCATGCCTTCCCATGCCTTCCCATGCCTTCCCATGCCTTCCCATGCCTCCCCATGCCTTCCCTCACCCTCGCTTACCCAAACTCACCCTCGCTCACCCAAACTCACCCTCGCTCACCCAAACTCACCCTCGCTCACCCAAACTCACCCTCGCTCACCCAAACTATCCTACAGCTGTTTGAAAGTATTGCTTCTACTCTCACGTTCCCTCCCTCCCACTGCATGCCACAGGGAGGTGGTGGTGGTGATGGTGCTGCAGAGAGGCAAGGGCGCAGAGGTTGGTAGGGCTGAAGTTGAGAGAGACAGTGGAGGGCGCGGTGGGAGAGTAGGGCCCGTGAGAGACACGCACTGCTCTCACAGCTCACCTGCCCCTTGCAATGTACCGCTGGCACCGGATGAGCCTGCCTCTCTACCTGCTGCCATGGCCCACGCGGGGGTGGTGTCAGACAGTGCGGGGCAGACACAGGGCTGCTGTGAGTGCGAATGCTCGTACCATGCTTGCTCGTACCATGCTTGCTCGTACCATGCTTGCTCGTACCATGCTTGCTCGTACCATGCTTGCTCGTACCATGCTTGCTCGTACCATGCTTGCTCGTACCATGCTTGCTCGTACCATGCTTGCTCGTACCATGCTTGCTCGTACCATGCTTGCTCGTACCATGCTTGCTCGTACCATGCTTGCTCGTACCATGCTTGCTCGTACCATGCTTGCTCGTACCATGCTTGCTCGTACCATGCTTGCTCGTACCATGCTTGCTCGTACCATGCTTGCTCGTACCATGCTTGCTCGTACCATGCTTGCTCGTACCATGCTTGCTCGTACCATGCTTGCTCGTACCATGCTTGCTCGTACCATGCTTGCTCGTACCATGCTTGCTCGTACCATGCTTGCTCGTACCATGCTTGCTCGTACCATGCTTGCTCGTACCATATTGCTCGTACCATGCTTGCTCGTACCATGCTTGCTCGTACCATGCTTGCTCGTACCATGCTTGCTCGTACCATGCTTGCTCGTACCATGCTTGCTCGTACCATGCTTGCTCGTACCATGCTTGCTCGTACCATGCTTGCTCGTACCATGCTTGCTCGTACCATGCTTGCTCGTACCATGCTTGCTCGTACCATGCTTGCTCGTACCATGCTTGCTCGTACAATGCGTGCTCGTACCATGCTTGCTCGTACCATGCTTGCTCGTACCATGCTTGCTCGTACCATGCTTGCTCGTACCATGCTTGCTCGTACCATGCTTGCTCGTACCATGCTTGCTCGTACCATGCTTGCTCGTACCATGCTTGCTCGTACCATGCGTGCTCGTACCATGCGTGCTCGTACCATGCTTGCTCCTACTAGGCTAGCTCGTACATGCGTGCTCGTACCATGCTTGCTCCTACTAGGCTAGCTCGTACATGCGTGCTCGTACCATGCTTGCTCGTACCATGCTTGCTCGTACCATGCTTGCTCGTACCATGCTTGCTCGTACCATGCTTGCTCGTACCATGCTTGCTCGTACCATGCTTGCTCGTACCATGCTTGCTCGTACCATGCTTGCTCGTACCATGCTTGCTCGTACCATGCTTGCTCGTACCATGCTTGCTCGTACCATGCTTGCTCGTACCATGCTTGCTCGTACCATGCTTGCTCGTACCATGCTTGCTCGTACCATGCTTGCTCGTACCATGCTTGCTCGTACCATGCTTGCTCGTACCATGCTTGCTCGTACCATGCTTGCTCGTACCATGCTTGCTCGTACCATATTGCTCGTACCATGCTTGCTCGTACCATGCTTGCTCGTACCATGCTTGCTCGTACCATGCTTGCTCGTACCATGCTTGCTCGTACCATGCTTGCTCGTACCATGCTTGCTCGTACCATGCTTGCTCGTACCATGCTTGCTCGTACCATGCTTGCTCGTACCATGCTTGCTCGTACCATGCTTGCTCGTACCATGCTTGCTCGTACCATGCTTGCTCGTACCATGCTTGCTCGTACCATGCTTGCTCGTACCATGCTTGCTCGTACCATGCTTGCTCGTACCATGCTTGCTCGTACCATGCTTGCTCGTACCATGCTTGCTCGTACCATGCTTGCTCGTACCATGCTTGCTCGTACCATGCTTGCTCGTACCATACGTGCTCGTACCATGCTTGCTCGTACCATGCTTGCTCGTACCATGCTTGCTCGTACCATGCTTGCTCCTACTAGGCTAGCTCGTACATGCGTGCTCGTACCATGCTTGCTCCTACTAGGCTAGCTCGTACATGCGTGCTCGTACCATGCTTGCTCCTACTAGGCTAGCTCGTACATGCGTGCTCGTACCATGCTTGCTCCTACTAGGCTAGCTCGTACATGCGTGCTCGTACCATGCTTGCTCCTACTAGGCTAGCTCGTACATGCGTGCTCGTACCATGCTTGCTCCTACTAGGCTAGCTCGTACATGCGTGCTCGTACCATGCTTGCTCGTACCATGCTTGCTCGTACCATGCTTGCTCGTACCATGCTTGCTCGTACCATGCTTGCTCGTACCATGCTTGCTCGTACCATGCTTGCTCGTACCATGCTTGCTCGTACCATGCTTGCTCGTACCATGCTTGCTCGTACCATGCTTGCTCGTACCATGCTTGCTCGTACCATGCTTGCTCGTACCATGCTTGCTCGTACCATGCTTGCTCGTACCATGCTTGCTCGTACCATGCTTGCTCGTACCATGCTTGCTCGTACCATGCTTGCTCGTACCATGCTTGCTCGTACCATGCTTGCTCGTACCATGCTTGCTCGTACCATGCTTGCTCGTACCATGCTTGCTCGTACCATGCTTGCTCGTACCATGCTTGCTCGTACCATGCTTGCTCGTACCATGCTTGCTCGTACCATGCTTGCTCGTACCATGCTTGCTCGTACCATATTGCTCGTACCATGCTTGCTCGTACCATGCTTGCTCGTACCATGCTTGCTCGTACCATGCTTGCTCGTACCATGCTTGCTCGTACCATGCTTGCTCGTACCATGCTTGCTCGTACCATGCTTGCTCGTACCATGCTTGCTCGTACCATGCTTGCTCGTACCATGCTTGCTCGTACCATGCTTGCTCGTACCATGCGTGCTCGTACCATGCTTGCTCTTACAATGCGCCTTGCTCGTACCATGCTTGCTCGTACCATGCTTGCTCGTACCATGCTTGCTCGTACCATGCTTGCTCGTACCATGCTTGCTCGTACCATGCTTGCTCGTACCATGCTTGCTCGTACCATGCTTGCTCGTACCATGCTTGCTCGTACCATGCGTGCTCGTACCATGCGTGCTCGTACCATGCTTGCTCCTACTAGGCTAGCTCGTACATGCGTGCTCGTACCATGCTTGCTCCTACTAGGCTAGCTCGTACATGCGTGCTCGTACCATGCTTGCTCGTACCATGCTTGCTCGTACCATGCTTGCTCGTACCATGCTTGCTCGTACCATGCTTGCTCGTACCATGCTTGCTCGTACCATGCTTGCTCGTACCATGCTTGCTCGTACCATGCTTGCTCGTACCATGCTTGCTCGTACCATGCTTGCTCGTACCATGCTTGCTCGTACCATGCTTGCTCGTACCATATTGCTCGTACCATGCTTGCTCGTACCATGCTTGCTCGTACCATGCTTGCTCGTACCATGCTTGCTCGTACCATGCTTGCTCGTACCATGCTTGCTCGTACCATGCTTGCTCGTACCATGCTTGCTCGTACCATGCTTGCTCGTACCATGCTTGCTCGTACCATGCTTGCTCGTACCATGCTTGCTCGTACCATGCTTGCTCGTACCATGCTTGCTCGTACAATGCGTGCTCGTACCATGCTTGCTCGTACCATGCTTGCTCGTACCATGCTTGCTCGTACCATGCTTGCTCGTACCATGCTTGCTCGTACCATGCTTGCTCGTACCATGCTTGCTCGTACCATGCTTGCTCGTACCATGCTTGCTCGTACCATGCTTGCTCGTACCATGCTTGCTCGTACCATGCTTGCTCGTACCATGCTTGCTCGTACCATGCTTGCTCGTACCATGCTTGCTCGTACCATGCTTGCTCGTACCATGCTTGCTCGTACCATGCTTGCTCGTACCATGCTTGCTCGTACCATGCTTGCTCGTACCATGCTTGCTCGTACCATGCTTGCTCGTACCATGCTTGCTCGTACCATGCTTGCTCGTACCATGCTTGCTCGTACCATGCTTGCTCGTACCATGCTTGCTCGTACCATGCTTGCTCGTACCATGCTTGCTCGTACCATATTGCTCGTACCATGCTTGCTCGTACCATGCTTGCTCGTACCATGCTTGCTCGTACCATGCTTGCTCGTACCATGCTTGCTCGTACCATGCTTGCTCGTACCATGCTTGCTCGTACCATGCTTGCTCGTACCATGCTTGCTCGTACCATGCTTGCTCGTACCATGCTTGCTCGTACCATGCTTGCTCGTACCATGCTTGCTCGTACCATGCTTGCTCGTACCATGCTTGCTCGTACCATGCTTGCTCGTACCATGCTTGCTCGTACCATGCTTGCTCGTACCATGCTTGCTCGTACCATGCTTGCTCGTACCATGCTTGCTCGTACCATGCTTGCTCGTACCATGCTTGCTCGTACCATGCTTGCTCGTACCATGCTTGCTCGTACCATGCTTGCTCGTACCATGCTTGCTCGTACCATGCTTGCTCGTACCATGCTTGCTCGTACCATGCTTGCTCGTACCATGCTTGCTCGTACCATATTGCTCGTACCATGCTTGCTCGTACCATGCTTGCTCGTACCATGCTTGCTCGTACCATGCTTGCTCGTACCATGCTTGCTCGTACCATGCTTGCTCGTACCATGCTTGCTCGTACCATGCTTGCTCGTACCATGCTTGCTCGTACCATGCTTGCTCGTACCATGCTTGCTCGTACCATGCTTGCTCGTACCATGCTTGCTCGTACCATGCTTGCTCGTACAATGCGTGCTCGTACCATGCTTGCTCGTACCATGCTTGCTCGTACCATGCTTGCTCGTACCATGCTTGCTCGTACCATGCTTGCTCGTACCATGCTTGCTCGTACCATGCTTGCTCGTACCATGCTTGCTCGTACCATGCTTGCTCGTACCATGCGTGCTCGTACCATGCGTGCTCGTACCATGCTTGCTCCTACTAGGCTAGCTCGTACATGCGTGCTCGTACCATGCTTGCTCCTACTAGGCTAGCTCGTACATGCGTGCTCGTACCATGCTTGCTCGTACCATGCTTGCTCGTACCATGCTTGCTCGTACCATGCTTGCTCGTACCATGCTTGCTCGTACCATGCTTGCTCGTACCATGCTTGCTCGTACCATGCTTGCTCGTACCATGCTTGCTCGTACCATGCTTGCTCGTACCATGCTTGCTCGTACCATGTGTGCTCGTACCATGCTTGCTCGTACCATGCTTGCTCGTACCATGCTTGCTCGTACCATGCTTGCTCGTACCATGCTTGCTCGTACCATGCTTGCTCGTACCATGCTTGCTCGTACCATGCTTGCTCGTACCATGCTTGCTCGTACCATGCTTGCTCGTACCATATTGCTCGTACCATGCTTGCTCGTACCATGCTTGCTCGTACCATGCTTGCTCGTACCATGCTTGCTCGTACCATGCGTGCTCATACCATGCTTGCTCGTACCATGCTTGCTCGTACCATGCTTGCTCGTACCATGCTTGCTCGTACCATGCTTGCTCGTACCATGCTTGCTCGTACCATGCTTGCTCGTACCATGCTTGCTCGTACCATGCTTGCTCGTACCATGCTTGCTCGTACCATGCTTGCTCGTACCATGCTTGCTCGTACCATGCTTGCTCGTACCATGCTTGCTCGTACCATGCTTGCTCGTACCATGCTTGCTCGTACCATGCTTGCTCGTACCATGCTTGCTCGTACCATGCTTGCTCGTACCATGCTTGCTCGTACCATGCTTGCTCGTACCATGCTTGCTCGTACCATGCTTGCTCGTACCATACGTGCTCGTACCATGCTTGCTCGTACCATGCTTGCTCGTACCATGCTTGCTCGTACCATGCTTGCTCGTACCATGCTTGCTCGTACCATGCTTGCTCCTACTAGGCTAGCTCGTACATGCGTGCTCGTACCATGCTTGCTCCTACTAGGCTAGCTCGTACATGCGTGCTCGTACCATGCTTGCTCCTACTAGGCTAGCTCGTACATGCGTGCTCGTACCATGCTTGCTCCTACTAGGCTAGCTCGTACATGCGTGCTCGTACCATGCTTGCTCCTACTAGGCTAGCTCGTACATGCGTGCTCGTACCATGCTTGCTCCTACTAGGCTAGCTCGTACATGCGTGCTCGTACCATGCTTGCTCCTACTAGGCTAGCTCGTACCATGCGTGCTCGTACCATGCTTGCTCCTACTAGGCTAGCTCGTACATGCGTGCTCGTACCATGCTTGCTCCTACTAGGCTAGCTCGTACATGCGTGCTCGTACCATGCTTGCTCCTACTAGGCTAGCTCGTACATGCGTGCTCGTACCATGCTTGCTCCTACTAGGCTAGCTCGTACATGCGTGCTCGTACCATGCTTGCTCCTACTAGGCTAGCTCGTACCATGCGTGCTCGTACCATGCTTGCTCCTACTAGGCTAGCTCGTACATGCGTGCTCGTACCATGCTTGCTCCTACTAGGCTAGCTCGTACATGCGTGCTCGTACCATGCTTGCTCCTACTAGGCTAGCTCGTACCATGCGTGCTCGTACCATGCTTGCTCCTACTAGGCTAGCTCGTACATGCGTGCTCGTACCATGCTTGCTCCTACTAGGCTAGCTCGTACATGCGTGCTCGTACCATGCTTGCTCCTACTAGGCTAGCTCGTACATGCGTGCTCGTACCATGCTTGCTCCTACTAGGCTAGCTCGTACATGCGTGCTCGTACCATGCTTGCTCCTACTAGGCTAGCTCGTACATGCGTGCTCGTACCATGCTTGCTCCTACTAGGCTAGCTCGTACATGCGTGCTCGTACCATGCTTGCTCCTACTAGGCTAGCTCGTACATGCGTGCTCGTACCATGCTTGCTCCTACTAGGCTAGCTCGTACATGCGTGCTCGTACCATGCTTGCTCGTACATGCGTGCTCGTACCATGCTTGCTCGTACATGCGTGCTCGTACCATGCTTGCTCGTACATGCGTGCTCGTACCATGCTTGCTCGTACATGCGTGCTCGTACCATGCTTGCTCGTACATGCGTGCTCGTACCATGCTAGCTCGTACATGCGTGCTCGTACCATGCTTGCTCGTACATGCGTGCTCGTACCATGCTTGCTCGTACATGCGTGCTCGTACCATGCTTGCTCGTACATGCGTGCTCGTACCATGCTAGCTCGTACATGCGTGCTCGTACCATGCTTGCTCGTACATGAGTGCTCGTACCATGCTTGCTCGTACATGCGTGCTCGTACCATGCTTGCTCGTACCATGCTTGCTCCTACTAGGCTAGCTCGTACATGCGTGCTCGTACCATGCTTGCTCGTACATGCGTGCTCGTACCATGCTTGCTCGTACCATGCTTGCTCGTACCATGCTTGCTCGTACCATGCTTGCTCGTACCATGCTTGCTCGTACCATGCTTGCTCGTACATGCGTGCTCGTACCATGCTTGCTCGTACCATGCTTGCTCGTACCATGCTTGCTCGTACCATGCTTGCTCGTACCATGCTTGCTCGTACCATGCTTGCTCGTACCATGCTTGCTCGTACCATGCTTGCTCGTACCATGCTTGCTCGTACCATGCTTGCTCGTACCATGCTTGCTCGTACCATGCTTGCTCGTACCATGCTTGCTCGTACATGATTGTGTGGCCCCAGTGGACTCTGCACGAGTCAGCATTGCTTGCTGCAGTTTCAGCTGCTGCAACTCACTGCATTTTGATGCTGTTTGGTTCTTTCCACTCATGTTAACCTGGTTGGAACTGATGGGTTATCATTACAACGTGCCTTCAGGCAGGCCTACACGATGGAGGTATTGCCTTAAGTAATGCGTTTGGCTTGCATTCCCTCACACACATACACACTGTTTCGCATTGTCAACTGTCGTAGAGTGTCGCATATTTTCACTGTTTGTTACACATTGTTTACCCAGTGTCACATATTTCCACTATTTGTTGCACATTGTTTACCCATTGTCACATATTTCCACCGTTTGTTACGCATTGTTTACCCATTGTCACATATTTTCACAGTTCGTTGCACATTGTTTACCCATTGTCACATATTTCCACTGTTTTTTACGCATTGTTTACCCATTGTCACAGAGCGTCACACTTCGTTCCTCATTTCAACCCGTTGTCACTGAGTGTCATGAATTGTTACGCATCTTTCACGCATTGTCACGGAATGTCACACATTGTGTTGAATTGTCTCACATTCTCTCAGTGTCACGTGGGCCGTTATCTCACGTCGCATAACGTCACGCATTCACGCATTGTCACACTAATTTGTCACTCTCTGTCATGCCCTTGTCACTCATTGTGTCCCGGTTGTTTTTTGTATCGTGTTGTCTCAATTCTCTCACGTTGTCACATGGTTACTGCTGCCCATGATTTTTTCCGGGCAGAAGGTGGTGAAGGGTTGTGCCATTGGTGGTGGTGCTGTAAAGGGGCGAGAGGTTGAGCAGATCGCAGCACTGGAGGAAGGCGAAGGTGGTGCAGGCCTGTCAGGAGTAACCGGAGATTCTGGTGGCAGTGGAAGCTGCATCAGTGGTAGTGGCGGTGGTGGTAACCGCGTGTTACGGCTGCGGCCAATCATGCTGGCGGACATGCGGGCGGCGAAGCTGCAAGTGGTGCGGAGCACAGGGGGAGGCAGCAGCAGCATGGCAGCGCTGCGGCCGTGCAACCACCTCCATGGGGGGAAGGAACGAGGAGGGGAGGTTCAGGCAAAAAATGAGGCGCAATGATTTATGACAAGGAGAGAAAGGTGGTGTACCCTGACTGACCTGACATGCTAGCGTAGCGTGGCTCTTACCAGAATTGTGATGCCCATAGCATCTCATGCACAAACCTCGGCTGGTGCAGCTCGATGCATGCTAAATGAAACTTTGGAAAGACTGTTCGAATGCCTTACGTATAGTGTGATGTTCCTTGGTTATTATAATGTGTTGAAGTGGTTGTTCCGCTATACTGTGTTGGCAGGCGGGCTTATTCATCGGTGCTGCCTTTGATAATTGAACTTGTTCCATGTCCGTGTTCAGGCAAACTAGGTTTACAACTAAACACGAAATATAAATAGCATGGATAAATGCATTATAATAACTCAGCTAACTACCGTAAGCAGCACACTACCAGCAGCAGCATCCCATGACAAGCCTCGGTCATCACATGGCCCAGCCTCTGACCCATTGGAGAGCACGTGAGCAGCTTCAGTCATCCAAGTCCCTCACACAATCCAGCCTCCATGCTCCAATCCACCATCCAGTTGCTACAACACCCTGACCAGCAGGGTGCAAAAAGTGTTGCCGCCTTCCTCCCCACTGTCCACCACCCCGTGCCTTCCCCAGCTGTACCTTGGCTGCTCTCTGCTCGCTCCAATCAACCCCCACTGTTGCACTCTCCACCTCACACTGCGGCCCTCACGGCCTCCAAGGAGGCCTTGCTGCTACTGCTGCTGCCTTACTCGCCCTGGAGGGTCGCCTCCCTCCGCATTCCGCACCGCCATTCCTCCTCTCCTGCTGCTGCCTTGTGCTGCTGCTTGCTGCCATTACAGGAATGGTTACCTGAGCACCATCGGCGGCCCTTGAAGTCGACACCGCTGCCTTGCTCACCCTGATAGCCCGCCTCCCTCTGCATACCACACTGCCATTCCTCCTCCCCTCCTGCTCGCCTGTGCTGCTGCTTGCTATGACTACAGCACGGGTTACCACAGGATCAGCAGCCCGTGAAGAAGCCTCCACTGCAGGAGTTGCATTCCTGCAGCACCGTGGCTTGGGAATGAGGGACGGCAGCACGTTTGCACTTGCTGCTGCCGTCCTCGCCCGAGCCTTGCTGGCAGCCCATCCATCCATCTAGGCGGCGGCGAGAATAGAGCGACGAGGAGCTGCTGCCTAGGCAGGTCAGTTCTCAACCAACCATCCCTCTCTAGTGCCCCATGCTTAGCAGTGCGAGGCGCTGATTCATTAGCTGAGTCATTTGCATGGCACATCATCACCTGTTCCCATCCCCCTCCCTGCTTTTCCCCATCCCCTTCCCTGCTTCCACCCATCCCCTTCCCTGCTTCCCCATGTCCCCTTCCATGCTTCCCCCCTCCTCTACCGTTCTTCCCCCCTTTCACTTTACCTGCTTCCCCCCATTCCCTTCCCTGCTTCCCCCCCTCCCCTCCCCTGCTTTCCCCCAGTCCCCTTCCATGCTTCCCCTTGTCCCCTTCCCTGCTTTCCCATGTCCCGTTCTCTGCTTTCCCCCATCCCCTTCCCTGCTTTCCCCCATCCCCTACACTGCTGCTTCCACCCGTCCCCTTCCCTGCTTAGAGTCAAACCCTTCCCTGCTTCCTCCCGTCCCCTTCCCTGCTTTCCCAATCTTCTTCCAAGCAGGGAAGGGGACATGGGGAAGCAGGGAAGGGGATGGGGGAATATAAGGGAAGGGGATGGGGGGAAGAAGGGAAGAGGATGGGGGAATCAGGGAAAGGGACATGGGGAAGCAGGGAAGGGGACATGGGGAAGCAGGGAAGGGGACATGGGGAAGCAGGGAAGGGGACATGGGGAAGCAGGGAAGGGGATGGGGGAATATAAGGGAAGGGGATGGGGGGAAGAAGGGAAGGGGATGGGGGGAATCAGCGAAAGGGACATGGGGAAGCAGGGAAGGGGACAGGGGGAATATGATTGAAGGGGATGGGGGAATATAAGGGAAGGGGATGGGGGGAAGAAGGGAAGGGGATGGGGGGAATCAGGGAAAGGGACATGGGGAAGCAGGGAAGGGGACATGGGGAAGCAGGGAAGGGGATGGGGGAATATAAGGGAAGGGGATGGGGGGAAGAAGGGAAGGGGATGGGGGGGAGCAGGGAAGGGGACATGGGGAAGCACATAGGGGGATGGGGGGAAGCAGGGAAGGGGACATGGGGAAGCAGGGAAGGGGACATGTGGGAATATGAGGGAAGGGGATGGGGGGAAGAAGGGAAGGGGATGGGGGGAATCAGGGAAAGGGACATGGGGAAGTAGGGGAGGGGACATGGGGAAGCAGGGAAGGGGATGGGGGAATAGAACGGAAGGGGATGGGGGGAAGAAGGGAAGGGGATGGGGGGAATCAGGGAAAGGGACATGGGGACGCAGGGAAGGGGACATGGGGAAGCAGGGAAGGGGCTGGGGGAATATAAGGGAAGGGGATGGGGGGAAGAAGGGAATAGGGGATGGGGGGGAGCAGGGAAAGGGACATGGGGAAGCAGGGGAGGGGACATGGGGAAGCAGGGAAGGGGATGGGGGAATAAAACGGAAGGGGATGGGGGGAAGAAGGGAAGGGGATGGGGGGAATCAGGGAAAGGGACATGGGGACGCAGGGAAGGGGATGGGGGAAAGCATGGAAGGGCGTGGGGGAAAGCAGGGACGGGGACATGGGGGGAAGCAGAGAAGGGACACGGGGGAAGCAGGGAAGGGGACATGGGAAAGCAGGGGAGGGGATGGGGGAACATAAGGGAAGGGGATGGGGGGAAAAAGGGAAGGGGATAGGGGGAAGCATGGAAGGGCGTGGGGGGAAGCAGGGACGGGGACATGGGGGGAAGCAGGGAAGGGGATGGGGGGAAGCATGGAAGGGCGTGGGGGGAAGCAGGGACGGGGATGGGGGGAAGAAGAAAAGGGGATGGTGGGCAGCTGGGAAAGGGACATGGGGAAGCAGGGAAGGGGATGGGGGGAAGCAGGAAAGGGACACGGGGAAGCAGGGAAGGGGATGGGGGGAAGAAGGGAATAGGGGATGGGGGGGAGCAGGGAAAGGGAAATGGGGAAGCAGGGAGGGGGATGGGGGAATATAAGGGAAGGGGATGGGGGGAAGAAGGGAATAGGGGATGGGGGGGAGCAGGGAAAGGGACACGGGGAAGCAGGGAAGGGGATGGGGGGAAGCAGGGAAGGGGATGGGGGGGTTTGGGGAAGGGGACAAAGGGGAATGAGAGAGGTAAGCGGTGTGGAGGTGGAAGGCGATCATTAGGGTAAGCGCTACTGTGTGTGTGGGTTGGAAAGGGGGCGTGACTGGTCCAAATGAGTTGGGGAAGGGAGGGTGACGGGCGGAAGGGAGGGTGACGGGCGGAAGGGAGGGTGACGGGCGGAAGGGAGGGTGACGGGCGGAAGGGAGGGTGACGGGCGGAAGGGAGGGTGACGGGCGGAAGGGAGGGTGACGGGCGGAAGGGATGGTGACGGGCGGAAGGGATGGTGACGGGCGGAAGGGATGGTGACGGGCGGAAGGGATGGTGACGGGCGGAAGGGATGGCGACGGCGGAAGGGAGGGTGACGGGCGGAAGGGATGGCGACGGCGGAAGGGAGGGTGACGGGCGGAAGGCATGGCGACGGCGGAAAGGAGGGTGACGGGCGGAAGGGATGGCGACGGCGGAAGGGAGGGTGACGGGCGGAAGGGATGGCGACGGCGGAAGGGAGGGTGACGGGCGGAAGGGATGGCGACGGCGGAAGGGAGGGTGACGGGCGGAAGGGATGGCGACGGCGGAAGGGAGGGTGACGGGCGGAAGGCATGGCGACGGCGGAAGTGAGTGCGACGGGCGGAAGGGAAGGTGACGGGCGGAAGGGAGGGCGACGGCGGAAGTGAGTGCGACGGGCGGAAGAGAAGGTGACGGGCGGAAGGGAGGGCGACGGCGGAAGTGAGTGCGACGAGCGCTAGGGAGAGCGACGGGCAGTAGGGCGACGGCGGGAGGGAGTTTGATGGGAGTAAGAGAGTGCGACGGGTGCGTCGAACGTACATGTGAGGCTAGCGCCCGATCCGTGCGCTTGATCCGTGCGTTTTGAACGTAACATGCGAGCTCCATCGACCCTGTAGATTTGGGCGTGACGCATGACGTTTTTCTCTATGCTGGCTAATATTATTTTCGTTGAAGGGGAAAACCGTCAGACTGCTGCAAGGTTCTAGACATCTCGCTGCCATTGTCTAGAAGCGCTATTACGCGCTCTTGTGGTCCCGAAAAGCGGAGCGTACTACGTGTGCTAGACTCAATATGGCTGCACGTAAGTACAACTTGGTTTTCAAGTTTACTGAGGGTGAACAGTGGACCAACTCCCGTTGACACTTCACGCGGAATACTTTTTTTTGTCGCTGGCCAATCATGCTTCAGAGTCGCGAAGGAAAGCTGCACTTTGGGTGGTAACCTGGTTTTTGGCGAGTTCATATTCAAGAATCTTGAATTTGAAAAATGCCATGTGGAACTCGGGCCTTAAACACCATCAGTCGTAACCGAGTAATATATCTCGAACCGATCGAGTTCTGGTAATCAGCTCTGTTTCGCTAACCTGCAGAAAACAAGCTTTGAAGTTGTTCCACCCATAAAATGCAGTTTCTGATTCGGAACTGTACTTCACCATCCCACTCACCCACAACCCAAAGAATGTACTGTAGAAGTCTTGTGCTTGTATGTTCCCCCCAGTTTGTGCTCTCGCATTTTCTCGTGCCATGCCATCTTCCTGCTCCCATTCCATCGTTTTGTTGGTCTGGTACTGTACCCGGTCTGTTCAGAACGCCTGATTCCAGAGCATCAGTTGAGCAAACGCGGGACAACATCGTGCCTAGCTCGCATTTCTTCGCATTCTAGCTTGACTACACTACTGTATCCAGTGGGCAAACAGCAGTTTTGCACCAAATCGGAAAAACTTGGGCACCATCCTCGGTCAAGAACATGCCCTGAGAATCGCAAAATTCACGGATGGCATTTGTCCCCTCGACGCTGGAGATTTGTACGCTACGCGGGCGGGAGGGGAAGGGAACCATTCCGCATCCGAAACACCGAGGGCCAATCAGAGCGGGCGCCCTCGCGTGCGAATCGAAATATAACACGAGCCACGCTGTTGTCCTTCGAAAATCGCATCGGGTTTTACCTACCGCATGCAGATCTTGCTAGTGCAGCTTTGCAAACGCATGCAATAGACGGTTCAGGGGAAAATGGTCGGCTTGCCGGCAAAAACATGCGGTTACCCGTGTTTAGGGTTGAGGCTCCCTCAATCGCATGCCATCCAGATGGGGTTTATTTTTTTCTGACCGCGGGCAGATAACAGTCCGTCAGACTCTTTCCCCTGCGGCCGTCTATTGTATGCGTCTGCATAATCGCGCTGGCATAAGTTGAATGCCGGCCCAAATCGCATCACACGATTCATGCCTGTAGAGCAGGGCACCTCTCGACCGAAGGTCCTTTTTTTCACACATGGAAATCGCTCCAGACAGCATGACGGGGTCCAAAGTTAGCGCGTCTCGTGAGGTTTTGTCGCGTTGGGTGGCACATTTTACCTGTAACTAATATACAAATAACCAGATTTTCTGTTGACTCTGTTTTGTGCGATCTGCTCTGTGAAGACAGCAGCCTTTGCACCAAGCAGAAAGGACATTTAAAGCCCGAGTCCCAAATTGCGGGCCGCGCGGGTCAAGCTTTTAAAACTTGACGAACTAGTGTTTTCAAGGTTTGAAGAAAAGCGTGCCTGCAATTTGGGACTTTTGGGAACTGAACCAACCCCCAGGGCGAAATACGAGGGCGGGCTGGGGTTGGCGAAAAAAATGAAAAAGGCGAAATTGGAATCTTTCACCAAAACCCTCACCACAAAAACCTCCTCGCGTCAACCTTTTAAAAGTTGTGCAGTTTGGGCTGCCGGCTTTAACAATTAACAACTAATTAATTTGAAATGGCTTAGGCATGTGCAACTAAGAGCAACCAACTGTCAGATGGTCAGGCCGAGATATGAAGTGGCTGCATCTGGCTAGTTTCTGCTTTGGCTGTTACCTGCAACATCAGAGCAAGAAATAAGGCAGAATAGCAGCGGTAGAGACGGAGGGACACAAGATGGGCAGTCAGGGTCGAGGTTTTAGTGGTAATTCTGTTCTGAACATCCCATTTCACACCCTGCGATGCGCTGCCACGACATATCATGCCATGCCACGCCGTGCCCTGTCATGCCAAGCCATGCCTTGCCCTGCCATGCCATGCCATGCCATGTATGGGAGGAGTCGCACCATGCTGAGAGCTTGGAAGGCTGCTTTCACGGTGTTGTGGGGATGGCGCGAGCCAATCACCTGCAATCACACACTCCCTCCCACACACCCTCTCATGCACAGACACATGCCTCCACCCAACACCCACCCCAGAACAACATGCACGCGCTCGTACCCACACCCCCCTCCCCTCCCCCCACACCCACACCCCCGCACCTCTCCACACTCATTCCCACCCCAAAAACAACCCACATCCCCCCACACCCTCCCTATCCCCGTTTTCACCCCCCCCCCACATGTGGAGCCACAGAGGAAAGACAGAGAGGAGAACTGAGACAAGCACAATCAGGAAACTCCCATCCACCCGACTGGCCTCAGGAGGCTCGGCAGGCTCAAGAGGCTCGGCAAGCTCAGCTTAGGAGGCTCGGCAGACTCAGCTCAGCAAGCTCGGCAGGCTCAGGAGGCAGAGTGACCCTTTGAGGCTCCCCAACAAGTACAGTGGAGCATGCACCCAACCGAACCGAACCCAACCCAACCCAACCCAACCCAATCCCTAAACTTAAATTAAAGATGTAAGCAGAACTAAAACCTGCTGTGACCCCACGTGCCCGTGACCCCACAAGCCTCTCACTCACCCCACCCATCTGCCTGTGGGCCCAGCTTGGTCTTGACTGCCGGGAAACCCACTAGTCTTAAATGCCGGCCAGCGTGCTCCCAGCACTCATGCCCGATCCCATGTGGCTGTATGTAACCACACCAGCCTCCCACCCCACCAGCCTCCCACCCCAGTTGCCTCTCAAAACCCTAATCTGGCCGCACCTTGGTCTTGACAGCCTGGAAACCCGCGAGTCTGAGAATGCCGGCCAGCGTGCTCCCTGCACTCATGCCCGAGCCCTTGCGTGCGGGCCACATGTATACCTGCCACGCACAGGCATACGGATTGATGGGGTCAGGTTAAAAGCGGTGGAGTTCGGTGGAGTAGGGCTCTGAGACTCCCTGCACTCATGCCTGGCCCCTTGCGTGCCAGCTACATGTATACCTGCTAGGACCAGGGATAAGGGTGGAATGGGTAGGGTTAGCAGTGGTGGAGTTCGGTGGTGAGGCTCCGTGCACTCATGCCCAACCCCTTGCACACCAGTGCACCTGTCTACCGCACCTAAATCTCTCCAACACCCGAACCCACTGTTTGGCCATCCGCCCTAGTCTGTCGTTTGACCGTCCCCGCCTCTGTCATTCTGTGCTGTGCTGCCTCAAAAACCGAATCAACCTCCACCTGCCATTTCGTGCATTCTCAAAAAAAAAAAAAAAAAAAAAAAAAAAAAAAAAAAGAACGAACGAATCACCTTCCACCTTTTTGTTCTTGTGCAGCCTCAAAGGCCAGGCCAGGCCAGGCCAGGCCAAGCCACCCCACCTTTGTCTTGCCGTACTTCGCCATCTGCGGTTCGGCAATCGTTCGCCCTCTGAATCGATCAAAGTAGTGCAGATTCCTCAGCGCCCGCAGGTAGGCCTGGGGTCGGAGACAGAGAGGAGGAGGGGACAGGGTGGATGGAGAGACGTTATGGATGCCCCATCGATTTTCCTCCCTCTGAAGCGGTCAAAGTAGTGCAGATTCCTCAGCGCCCGCAGGTAGGCCTGGGGGAGAGTAGGGAGAAGGGGGAAGGGATGGGGGGTGCGGAAAGACGGGGAAGGAGAGGGAGGCAGGTGGTGTAGTAGATGGGTAGATGGGTGGACATAGCAAAAAATTGCTTCATCGTTTGTTTTACTACTGTGAAGGAGATCCCTCCGAATGCCCCCACTCTGCACCGCACTGCACTGCACTACAATGCACTGCTTGATTCATCTTACCGCACTGCACTGCACTGCGCACTGCTTGAACAATTCATTTCAACCTTGCACACCCACCTTATCAACTGCCAGCCCCATTTCTACCGACATGCCCTTGCCATACCCCACCGTGCCTTGCTTTTCAGCCTATAACCATGTCACTGCACTGCACTCCTTGTTTCATCACCCGCACCCCTGCAGTCCCACCGTATCAACCGCAAGCCTCATTTCTGCCGACTTGCCCTTGCCGTACCCCACCGTGCCTTGCTCTTCAGCCTATCACCGCACTGCACTTCTCTATACCGCACTGCATCTCTCACCTTGACCCCCTTCTTCTCACCTTATCAACCGCCAGCCCCATTTCTGCCGACTTGCCCTTGCCATACCCCGTTCAGTCATGCTTATTAATCAAAATCCCGTACCACACTGCACCGCTTGTCTCACCTTATCAACCGCGAGCCCCATTTCAGCCGACTTGCCCTTGCCATACCCCACCGTGCCTTGCCCGTTCCCACACACCACCAGCGCTGTAAAACTCAACACCTTGCCTCCCTGGAGGGAACGAAGGAGAAGGGGAAGGAGAGAGCGGGGGGGGAGAGAGGGGAGAGAGCGGCGGGAGAGAGGGTGGGGAGAGGATGAGAGAGAAGAGGTATTTTTTTGAGTGACTCAAAAACGATGCAACGGGAAACACAGAGCACACAGAAAGCGGTGGGGGGAGGAGGGGTGGGGGGGGGGGGGAATGGGCGGAGGGGAAGGGAAGCAACGAAGCAAAGAAGCAGGAAGCGCAACGATAAACAAGAACGGGAACAGTGGAATGGGGGGGATATGAGAAGATGGTACGGAGAGGAGGGGAGATGAAAGCGGGAACACACCTTGGTGACCTTGGCAGTGCGGTTAACATCAACTATGCGCATCTGAAATTGCTGTGGCGCAGGGAATGGGGTAGAGGGGGGACGGGTGGTGAAGCGGGTGGGGAAGATGGATAGAAGGTTGAGTTGACATTCCCTGTGATCAGATGCTGCCAACCGTTGAAACGAGCGAAGGGGAAGGGAAAGGGGGGGAAGGAGGACGAGGAGGGGGAGGGGCGGAAGGGGAAGCGGGACAGGTAGATGCATGACTGACAGGTGGAAGGAGGCATGGGCTTTTGAGGGGCATGCATACTCGATATACATTCTCACCCGTTTCAGTCGCTGCATGGACGGCGGTCGGCCCGGCTTCACTTTAAGCATCTTCTCGAACATGAATCGCTGCACGCGCCGCGGCATGCCCTCGAGCCGCCTTCCCATGTCGATTATATGCTCTAAACCCTCGACGTCTAACTCAGGGTGTAACCCTAACCCTGCTTCTTCCTCCTCCAACGCTGACGTCAGCTCTGCCACGTCAGCGCTGATCGCGTCGGCGTTAGCTAGCGCGTGTGCCGGAAGCTCGTTCGTCCGCTCGTCCACGTCATCCGTCTCCTCGTCCTCGTCAACATCTGCGCTGCTTCCGCGAAGCTTCAGCTCCGCGCTTTCGCGTTCCGAGATCCCACCCCCCGCGTCCGCGCCCCCAGAAACCTCCCTCGCGGAGACCACGCGGCTCGAAGATCCGATACGCGAATCGGATCTCGAGTCTCCGCCAAACCCGCCGCCATCGCCGCCGCCGCCGCCGACTGCGCTACTTGAAGCGGTTGTGAGAAGGCGGTGCGAGATCGCAAACGGTTGTGATAGTATCGGGGCCTCGAGACGACGCGATCCGGGGAATGGAGTTGAGAATTTGGCGGGAAGGTGGTGGAATGGACGCGCGGGGAGGTTCGGAGGGGACGGCGGAAGCGGAGCGGATGGGAGGCGGAGGGAGAGAAGCGAGCGGAGGAGACGAGTGGATGGGCGAACGGACGCCATGGAATCGCGCTCGAGCCCAGAACCTGCTGCCAGCTATTGCTCGTTTGGCATTATCTACGACTACTCGCTAGACTACGTGATGGCGCCGCGGCAACCTGATCAATATTTCTTGGCTGTGGGTGGAGGTGCATGCCCGCTTGAAGCATGTCGTCGAATCGAAGTGTATATTGCGACAGCACAAGATGGGAAAAACTTTATTTCAACTTCTCACCATGAATTTTAACTTCCTAACCAATCACACCCACCATCACGCAAAGTATGCCATCGTAAAGCACATCTTCCACATCATTATCATAATATGCCATGCCATGCATCACGCCAATATTAAACCATCTCAGACGGTACGGTTTTTTCTCAGGCATCTCAAACCAAATGCGCCACCACTATGGCACTACCGCAGCAACCGCCATCACCACGCAATCCCGTGCAGCATAACAGTAATCATCATCAAGCAATGCTTTGCAGCATGGCAGTGAAGTCAATGCCAATCACTGTGGTGTTGCCGTGTGTCCTCAGCGTGAGACTCCACCACCACCAGCGTATTTGCCACCACCACCAGAAGCAGCACCACCATCACCATGACAACCACAACCACCATAAAACTGCCTATCATCAAGCAATGCTCTGCAGCATGGCAGTGAAGTCAATCCCAACAACGGTGGCGTTGTCGTGTGTCCTCAGCGTTCGCGCCTTTGCCACCAGCGCACTCGCCATGGCCTCTGCTGTACTGCCCCCCCCTCCCCCTTCCTCCTCCTCCTTCCGAGCCTGCTCGGCCCATGGGAGTGCGTGATGCAAGGAGGTGAGCATAAAGAATGATGAAGAAACGATATAGAGGGGAGAAAAATGAAGAAAGAAAAAAACTAACACAACAACATAAACGTAAGTGGAACATTTAAGGCAAATCCGGAGCACAGTGCAAGGACAAACTATTACACTTGTTTAGAAGAAGAAGAAGAAGAAGAAGGAGAAGAAGAAAAACACACACACACACACACACACACACACACACATTAATAAAGCCGTAGCATGTCAAGAAAAGTGAGCTTACCTCTAGTGCCACTTGAATGGCTCGCTTGACTGACATCACGTCCCATAAACCATCACTGTACACATACATGCATGCACATGCATACACATGCGCGAACATGCATACACACACGTAAACATGCACATATATGCATACACATAGGTATACATCCGTACACATGCAAATACATGCATACACATGCACACACATCCGTACGCATGCATATACATGAATACACATGCATGCGCCCACAAACAAAACACAAAGAGACATCGAAATCAAGCAAAATCAACGGAAAAGCATGTTTCAGAGGCAATGGCAATGGAGCTGCAGATAGACGGGCCAGAAAAAGGATTCACTCAACAGGTCAGTCAAAAGTACAGAGGTGTAAGCAAAGTCAAATGGTTCACTCTCTTCTCTCCCCTTGCAACGACCGCCATGACCGGCTTGCTTTCCCCCTCTCCCCAGGCACGGGCAGCTGCAGAGGCGCGTGGATGAATGGATCATCGAGGGACAGCCAGCCTCACGCCCTGCTCCCACCCTCCTCACGCCATCCCCCCTTGCTATCTCCCCCCACCATCACCAGCAGTTTTGTAGTCGACTCAAAAACACACCCCATCTCGTGATCTCCCCCCACCATCAGCATCAACACCATAATCAATTCCACTCACCTGGCAATGACGCCAATGACTGGCTTGCTCGTCCCCCCCTCTTCTGGCACGGGCAGCTGCAGGGGTGCATGGATGAATGGGTCCGAGGACAGCCCCACGTCCTGCTGCTTCAGGAACTTGTCCCCAAACACACGCGCTATGTTCATGCCTGTGCATGGGTGGGAGGGAGAGTGCAGCGGTTTAGTTGCCGTAGGGGTTTGGCAACCCCACATACCCACAGCCCCGCGTCCTGCTGCTTGAGAAACTTGTCCCCAAACACACGCGCTATGTTCATGCCTCCACATGGGTGGGTTGGGGGGGGGGGGGGGAGGAGAAGGGAGTGGAGAATTTGAGTGACTTAGTAATGCTGCGGTGCTGCATTTGAGAATCCTCAAGAGCACCACTGTCATAGTGGTGGTCTGGCCACGGCCCTACGGCCTACCCTATGCCCTTCTCCACCACTCACTCCCTGTGACCCCTGACATCCCGCATGCCCTTCTTTCCGCATGCCCCTTTGATCCCCCACATTCCCCCCCTCATCTCACCACACAGCCGTGTGTCCCCACAGCGCATGGGCTTGCCGATGGACGCCAGACGCCCCTTCAATACCACTCACTCCTCGTGACCCCCCTCATCTCCCCACAAGCCCCCTGAATGCCCCACGTTTTGTCAGAATGTTATGTGTGTCTAGCCTGCAGTGGGGTACTCTATAGTGAGTACAACCCAAACTAGGGTTTCCTATAAGTATCCTACCTACTGCTAAAAATCCCTCTTTGCCTGTTTCTCGTTTTCGCCTACTATCTTGACATGGTATCAGAGCAGGTCGACCCTCCTGGGTCGATCCTGTGGGTGGGCCCACCCGATGCTTCCGCTGCTGTTCTGCTTCTCGCGAGCCTCGGGCGCGTGACGTTTTCTGCCTTCCGCGTTTTTAGGGTTTCTACGATTTCTGCTCGCCGCGCGCTCCGAAAGCTCGGCGGTTTTCTGCCCGCTGTGCGCCCCGAGGCGCGCGGCGGTTTCCCACCGTCGAAGCGCCCCCCGTCGCCCGTCGAAGCGCCCCCCCCCCCCGTCGCCCGTCGAAGCGCCCCCGTCGCCCGTCGAAACGCCCCCGTCGCCCGTCGAAGCGCCCCTGGGCCCCGCGCGGGCCGCGCGCGGCCCGTACGACCTGCGCCAGGCCCGCGCGCGGCCCGTACGGGCTGCGCCAGGCCCGCGCGCGGCCCGTACAGCCCGCGCGCGGCCCGTACGGCCTGCGCCAGGCCCGCGCGCGGCCCGTACGGGCTGCGCCAGGCCCGCGCGCGGCCCGTACGGGCTGCGCCAGGTCCGCGTGCGGCCCGGGCGGCCCGCGCGCGGTTCGTTCGACCTGCGCGCGCCGTCCCCCGAGCTGCTGACCGCGCCCCACCCCTGCTGCTGCCCGCGCTCCTGTTTTAGGGTTTGGGGGTGGCGAGTATGGGGGTGATAGGTGTGTGCGCCGTCCCCTGCTCCTCCTCCTCCTCCGGCTCCCACTGCTGCAGCTGCCGCTGAGGGGGGTGGGTGTGTTGGAGCCGTCGGAGTGGTACTAGGGGGGTGGCGTGTGAGCAGTGCTAGAGGTACAGCAGAGGGTGTGTGAAAGGGTTTTGGGACAGCTGGAGGAAGTTGAGTGGAGGCAATCGTCTTGTCGTCCGCAGCGCCTGAAGTCCAGAGAGCCACGACCCCCTGTGGCCTGAGTAGTCCGGGGCTCTGCGCCCGGTAGCCACAGTGTGAGCACTCCTGGTAGTCCAGAGAGCCACGACCCCCTGTGGCCTGAGTAGTCCGGGGCTCTGCGCCCGGTAGCCACAGTGTGAGCACTCCTGGGAGCACAGCGAGCCAGCTGCGCCTGTCGCCGTGTAGTCCGGGTTTAGCCTGGTAGCGTCAGTGCTGCGCACTCCTGGTGCCCGTGTGTCTGCAGCTTCAGCCGTCGCCTCCCATCTTCTCGCCCCCACAGTTTTTCCTCCTCCTCACTTGCCCTCTGTGATAGTCTCTAGCTTTGCGTATCATTGTGAACTATTGCTATGCCTGCTTGTTGTGCTGATTATACCCCACTTTGACTATGGGGGTGTGTCAGAATGTTATGTTTGTCTAGCCTGCAGTGGGGTACTCTATAGTGAGTACAACCCAAACTAGGGTTTCCTATATGTATCCTACCTACTGCTAGTGCAAATCCCTCTTTGCCTGTTTCTCGTTTTCGCCTACTATCTTGACACGTTTTTCTCCCCCCATCTCACCGCACAGCCGCGTGTCCCCGTCGCGCATGGGCTTGCCAATGGACGCGAGGCGTCCCTTCTCCACGGGCCCTGTGAGCCGGTGGTCCTCTGTCATCTGCACCACGCCCTCCTCGCTCGCACTGCCCAGGCTGGAGATGAGGTTGGGTGGCGATGGGTTGGGATGGGTGGGCAAGGGAGGGGGTGGGTGGGGATGGGAAGTGGTGCCATGATGTGAGTAGGCGTCCCTTCTCCACAGGCCCTGTCAGCCGGTGGTCCTCCGTCATCTGCGCCACACCCTCCTCGCTCGCACTACCCAGGCTGGAGGGGTGGAGAGGGGTGGGTATGGGTAGGGATGGGTGGGGATGGGAAGGATGAGTGTGACATGAGAAGAGGTACCGGTCAGCCGGTGGTCATCTGCACCACTCCCTCCTCACTCACATTGCCCAAGCTGGCAATGAGGATCGGTGGGGGTAGGTGGGGATGGGTGGAGATGGGTGGGTATGGGGCGGCTGGAAGGCTTTTCGCTCTGCCATCAACCATGCACTGTGCCCCATTAGGACCTAAACTGGTCTGCAACTGCCCTTCCCCTCACCTCCTACTACTGCTCTGACCCCAGCACAGCACACAATGCGAGTCCCCCAAATTGGCCGCCTGGACCCACACGCGGTGGGGCGGCTGGAAGGCCCTCCACACAAGAGCAGCACAGTGGCATCACAGCCTTAAGTTAACCTTAAGTGGCAAGCACCGCCTTACCCCAGCTTGCACCTGCCTGAATTAGCATTCACCCTCCCCTCTTACCCCAGCACGCAGTGCGAGTCCCCGAGATTCGCAGCCTGCACCCACACACGGTGGGGCGGTTGGAACGCCCGCCACACGAGCAGCACGGTGGCGGTGCAGCCCTCATCCTCGTTATTGAGCTCCTCTTCTGTCGCCTTGAAGGCTGCTCGCAGCACGTCGGTCGCGTTGCAGCTCATGCGCACCACCACGTGCTTGCCCCCTTTCAGCAGCTCCTGGGACAGTTTTTCAGGGAAGATTCTGAGAAAAAAGCGGCGAGCATAGGTGTGGGGCGACGGGGGGAAGAGGGACGGTTAGGAAACAGGAGCAGCAGTGGTGCTTGCAGCTCATGCGCACCACCACGTGCTTGCCTCCTTTCAGCAGCTCCTGGGATAGCTTCTCAGGGAAGATTCTGTTTAAAAATCAAGAGACGAGTGGTGGGGGTCGGGGCGAGGGCGGGGTTACAAAACCACCCTGGCAAGGGTGCAGCTCATGCGCACCACCACGTGCTTGCCCCCCTTCAGCAGCTCCTGAGATAGCTTCTCCGGGAAGATTCTGGAGGGTTGGGAAGAACGAATGAGAAACAGGCGGGTAGGAAAGGTGAATGTGGGGGAGAGATGTGTTGCCGCGCAGCTCATGCGCACCACCACGTGCTTGCCCCCCTTCAGCAGCTCGTGAGAAAGTTTTCCTAGGCAGATTCAGGTGGAAAGTATGCGGGGCGAGGGCGGGTTAAGGAAAGAATAGGCACATGCATATTCTCACATGCACATGCACATGTAGTACTTGGAGTCCATGTGCACCACCACAAGAAGCTTGCCTCTTGACATTGTCCGCGAACTGTCTGCCAGCATGCCTGTCAAACACACAGCAGATGCCAATCTGAGGTTCCCATATCACGCACATACTTGCATAATCACACTCGTAATTGTCACACTTCGCACATTGACACCTAACCCCCGTGCAGCAACAGCAACAGCACCTCACTCACCTCTTGACGTTGTCGGCGCACTGCCTGCCCGCATGCCCGTCGAACACACAGCAGATGCCCATCTGAAGCCAGCACGAATGCACGTGGGAGGAGAAGGGGAGCAGAAGGTGTGGGTAAGGTGAGGAGGCGGGAGGGGATGCAAGGCTGAGGACCACGGAGAGAGTTAAACAGTTGGAGGCAAGGAAGACATGCACTGCACATGTCTAAACGTGGAGGCACATACACAGTTTCCCCCTGTGCTATCACGTCATGGGGCCCCTGTGCTATCTATCATTGTACAATCAACACTCAATACAGCAGACTGGTCAACGCTCAATCTCACCCCATCATACTCACGTCCTGCAGCCCTCTGAGCGGCCACTCGCACAGAGGCACATCCTCCATGGGCAGCGGCTTGCCTCCCTTGCTGCTGGCACCCACTTCCTCTACCCCACTCTACAGTCAATCCCTTGCTGCTCCCTTTGCACTCACATCTTGCAATCCTCTGAGCGGCCACTCGCACAGGGGCACATCCTCCATGGGCAGCGGCTTCCCCCCCTTGCGTGCCCGCATGGGGTCGGCTGCAATGGCGATGTCACACGGGGCATCGGGGCACGGCCGCTCGACTTTACTCGTGTCCGCCAGTAGTCGCACCTAGGCAAAATGAAGGGCGGCGGAGAAAGCAGGGGGGGAAGGAATAGCATGGTAGTGAGTATTCTCGTAAGCAGCGGCTTGCCCCCCTTGCGTGCCCGCATGGGGTCGGCTGCTATGGCGATGTCACACGGGGCATCAGGGCACGGCCGCTCCACCTTGCTCGTGTCCTCCGCCAGTAGTCGCACCTGGGTGGGGTGGGAATGAGCGTGAGCAGAAAGAGCGAGGAAGGAAACACTGGACTCTTGCTGATTGATTCCCACGGCTGATAGCAACTACCATCCCATTTTGTGGTATCTGCAGGGATTGGAATGTGGATCTGCACACGCCATACCACAACCATGTACACACAGCAGAGCAAACCACAATCTCATGCATGCACGCACTCCCACACACACACACACACACACACACACACACACACACACATGCACCCACCAGGATACACGACTGCGACCCGCACGTGATGACGTCCCCATCAGCCAGCTGGCACGGCCGCCCCTCCGTACGCACCAGGACTCACCCGCACAGACTCACTCATGCACATTCTTGCGCATGCACTCACAACTACCCATGCACTCATGCACGCACCAGAATACGTGACTGCGACCCGCACGTGATGACGTCCCCATCAGCCAGCTAGCACGGCCGCCCCTCCGTGCGCTCCAGACCATGCACACTCTCTCAAGCACACATCCACTTTACATTCTTACACGCACACTCAAGAAAGCACGCACCAGGATGCGTGACTGCGACCCGCACGTGATCACGTCCCCGTCCGCCAGCTGGCACGGCCGCCCCTCGCTCACACCAGGCCACACACACACACTCATGCACATTCTTGCACACGCCCTCACAGCCACCCTTGCACTCCAGCACCCATTCACCCACCAGGATGCGTGACTGCGACCCGCACGTGATCACATCCCCGTCAGCCAGCTGGCACGGCCGCCCCTCCGTGCGCTCGCCCTCGTCGTCCGCCTCTGCGTTGATGGCCTCGTCGTTCAGCAGCGTGCCGTTCAGCGACCCACGGTCCACCACCTCCCACCGCCCCGACTGCTTGAGTTGAGGGCGGTGTGGGACAGGGAGTTTGCAGGGAAAGGAGCGGGGTGCGTGGGAAGCGGGGCTTGAGGGAGGCTCTTTGGCCAGCCCTGGTCGACTGAGTCACATCAACTGAAAAATCGTTTTTGAGGCGCCTCAAAAGGCGGTGTGGGACAGGGAGTTTGCAGGGAAAGGAGCGGGGTGCGTGGGAAGCGGGGCTTGAGGGAGGCTCTTTGGCCAGCCCTGGTCGACTGAGTCACATCAACTGGAAAATCACCAATGGAAAAAAAACCCACTCAAACGCACCAGAGCATTCCAGGTGACGTAGGCATGCTTGCTGGACACCTCCCCATCGTTCAGCTGAAGATCGTTGGCCTTCACCCGCCCTATGGTGGCGGACGGCCACGGCTCCAGCTTCTCATTCTTCAGCACCAGTCGGCTGCCCGATGCCGGCCCACTGATCACCTCCAGCACCAGCGTGGCGCCTGGGTAACCACAAAGGGATACATTTGTTGGGTAAGCAAACACACAAACAGGGAGACGAGCATACATGCTTCAAGCCCCCAGCTCCCAGCTTCTCGTGCTTCAGCACCAGCCGGCTTCCCGATGCCGGCCCACTGATCACCTCAGCACCAGAGTGGCGCCTGGGTATGGAAAGAGGATATGCATAATGGGCCATGCTCAATAAAATCCGCGAGACATGAGACGACTTTCGAGGCGCCTCAACACCCACTGATCACCTCCAGCACCAGCGTGGCGCCTGGGTATGGAAAGAGGGTATGCATAATGGGGTATGCAAAACGGGGGTGGACGTGACGGGGGACACAAAGGATTCAAGCCTCCTCCCTCCAGCTTCTCGTCCTGCAGCACTCGCCTGCTGCCTGCCCGAATGCCTGCCTTGCCTACTTACTACCCTTTTCTCGTCCATGATTTTCACCATCCTGCCTGCTCCAAACCCACCTTCCCTTCTAGCAGCCTTCTTCTTTGCAGCAGCTGCAGCATCAGGGACAGCAGCAGCAGCAACAGCAGCAGCAGAAGCAGCAGCAGCCTCTGCGTCCCCCTCCCCATCCGCCCCCTCCCCAGCATCATACTCTCTCACAGTCGACTCGCCAAACTTCACCCTTCCCTGCCTTCCCCCTCCCTCCTTCCGCGCGCGTTTATTCGCAGCAGCAGCAGCCGCTGCTACCTCCTCTGCCGCCTCTGCTTCTGCCTGCCTCCGCTCCTCCTCCCACTGCTTCTGCCGTGCTGCCCGCGCTGCCTCTGCTGCCTCTGCTTCCGCCGCTGCTTGCTGGTCCGCGGAGGCGGAGGGTTGGGAGGGCGGGAAGGACTGCTGCTCTATGTCCTCGTTCTCGTCCCCCCAGTCCTGGGGGGTTGGGGGAAGAGAAGGGGGAAGAGGGGGGGAAGTGGGCGAGAAGGGGGAAATGGAAGGAAGGGGGGCCGACAGGGGGGACAGAGGGGTGGTAGAGGAAAAAAATGCATTGCTACGTTCCACTCTCCCACTGCTTCTGCCGTGCAGCGCGCCTCTGCTGCCTCTGCTTCCGCTGCTGCTTGCTGGTCCGCGGAGGCACAGGGCTGCGAGGGCGGGAAGGACTGCTGCTCTATGCCCTCGCTCTCGTCCCCCTGGTCCTGGGGGGAGGGGGGGAAGGTGAGGGGGGTGTACGGGAGGGGGCCGGAAAGGGGGAAAAGATCAGGGGAAAGTGAGGGGAGGGCGGGAAGGACTGCTGCCCGATGTACTCGCTCTCGTCCCCCCGGTCCTGGGGGGTTAGGGGGAAACGGGGGGTGGGGGCGCGAAGGAAGAGAAAGGGGAAGTGGAGGGGAAGAGGGTGGGAGGGATTGGGAGGGGAGTGGAAGGAATAGGGTAGAGAGAAGGGGGAGGGGGGTGGGAGAGGAGAGGAGACGGCTGCAGTGCCATGCTTTCGATCTTCCCATAATGTTTCGTGCCTGTCGAAAACAGCATGAGTCATGGCCTTCCAAAAACGACTTGTGAATGGGAAATGCGGAAACCCCATAGCTTCAGCAGCTGCAGCAGCTCGCTGAAGGTGATTCGTACCTGAGAGAACAGAAGCGGCACGCGAGTTTCGCCATTAGCAGCCGCTGCACCTCCAGCTGCACCTGTAGCCGTCCCTGCGGACGACTGAAAGGGCCGTCGTACCCATCCCCATCAGCTGCAGTTACAGCCACAGCTGCAGGTGCATACGTACCTGAGAAAATAGAAGCGGCACGCGAGTCTCGCCATTACCGGCGGCTGCACCTCCAGCTGCACCGGTAGCCGAAGATGACTGGCTAGGCCCGTCGTACCCGTCACCGTCTCTCCGTTTCTTCCGCATGCACAGATAGCACACCCCAATCGCGACGACCGCGCACACGGTAACGCTCGCGATGACCACGTGCGACGACGGAGCCATGCCGGCGAGCGGACGGTCTGGATGCGAATCTAGGAAATGCTCGAGAAATCGGACGGTGGAGAATGCGGGGAAGAAGGTTGCGCCGAGGGCTTGCGGGAATGGGAAGTTGTGATTCGCGCGGGAAAAGGAGGAGTCTGCCGCGTCGCTGTTGCGCCAAGGGTGGGGTGGTTGCCACGTGGCGGCTGGGGACTGCTCCAGCAGCATGGACCGAGAAATGTAATGCTGGACCATTCAGAAAACGCCACGTGGACGAACGTAGGAATGGAGTTCGCCTCCGAGCCTAGTGCTGACCAGCAGATTCACATTTCAGACCAGGAACGAGGTTCGGCAAGGGATCGTCGCGACGCGAAGAAGAGAGCCTGAGTTGAGCAAGATGGGGATAGGGAAGATGCTTGCGTGGACTGGCGTGAGCACGATACGCGGAATGTGACGGGGCGGCTGCTCCTGCTGGGATGGCGGCGCAACGGAAGGCGACGTTTCCTAGGTTAGGTGCGTTCTGGTTTCGCTAGGTGTGTGTGTGTGTGAAGTTTTCGGAACCTAAGAATTGTCCAGTGCTGAGGGCGTATTCTCTGTATAAACTGCTTCCACGGACATGCTCACAGGGTGACAATTTACACTAGACCTATATTAACAAAGGAATCATATACGTCTTCCTAATGCTTCTTGGTTGATTTGACAACAGAATGTTGTATTTACCAAGTTGTTGGCTTAACACTTTTTACATGGAAACAGAGAATATCTGTGTGCACAAGTGGGCGCCGCCTCCAGTGTGCTCGATCCTGTTTATTTGAAATTATGGTAGTTGCTGAGCTGACAATCTTGAGAGCTCCTCTGCAAGGGGTGTGTATGGGAGAAGATATCAGTAACTACAAACAACGAAGAAACACGATGAATTATGGAGTTAGGCCGGCAGAGCATACCAAGCTGGAATGAGTGAAAAAAGAGTAAAGGGGAAGAGAAAAGCCTCCACCATAACTTCTTCCTACCTTGCTTCTTTTCCTTGAGCGTACTGTTGTCAGTGAGGAAAAAAATCGCACCACGTTTCTGATAAGTGGTCTGCAAAAACATTGCATTGCACCATGTTTCTGATACGCAGTCAGGAAACCAGTTTTCAAACAAACAGTCTGACTCATGCCGTTGGTAACTCCATACCCATTAACGGTGCCTGTTGCAGCATAACGGGACAAGTGATACTTACCCGGTGACTTTTGCGTCAACTCAAAGGTCACCACCATACGCATACATGATGCACTGCTGCAGCATACACGACAAGTGGGACTTACCCGGCCAGAGGGCAGAGAGGAAAGCTCAGCACAGGCCACTTGCAGTTCCTGCACCTGTAGAGAATAGTCATAAGAACACGGAAAGGAATCAGAAGAACCCTCCCTTAAAAAACTCCTAGCAGCATCCGCGACTGTGTTGAGCAATGAGCAGACCAAGAAATGGACTTCTCTGGAAAATGCATGAAAACAGCAAAGACAGCAGAAGCAAGGAGTGGAGCAACGAAAACTAGGGGTAACAGGCGGGTCCAATACCTTTAGATTTAGCTCCTTCAAAAGTTGTGAGCCGCTTGCCATGATGCGATTCAACGACCTGCTCGCTGGCTCTCGCAAATTCTCGAAGCGAGAGCTGAGGCTACTTGTAAATTCTGGCCTGAAAATACCACTGAAAGGCGGGAAGGAAAGGGAATGCACAGGAATTGAAAAAATGGAAACGTGATGACAGGGTATGCAATCTGGGTGTACCTCGACAGATGAGGAGCAAACACCAACCATTGATCTCACACCACTATTATCACACCAGTGCCCGAACTCCTCTTCTTCCACTGCTCGAACTTCCCTTCCCCCACCGCTCAGATTTCTCTTCCCAAATATTCAAACTCCCCTTAGCTGATTCTTCAGCTCCCCTTCCCCCACTGCTCCTCTCCCCTTCCCCCAATGCTCCTCCCCCCTTCCCTTACAGCTCCATTCCACTTATCAATTCATGGGATCCAGAAACCTAAACGGCCTAATGCCTAGGTTCCTTGGGCTGCGGCGCAGGAAACGACACTAGCAGTAGGTCGAAAAGGACTGCAGGCTTAAGAACGACCTTACCACTAGGTCTTCCTATTCATAAGGAACTAGAAACGAGTGAGTCGTAATGACCTGCATACTAGGTCGAAATGGGCTGCTGTCTTAATTTCAACCTTAGCATTAGGTCGACATGCGACTGCAGCCCATGAAACGGTCTTATATTTGGGTCGAGTCGGGCTGCGGCCCCATAAGAGCTGAACTCGTCATAGGCTGCAGCTCGGAAACGCCCCTTCTGACTCGTGCGAAACCCCTCACCATCGTGCGGTCGAATGAATATTCCCAGGATGCTTGAGTGGGGGTGGCCCCCGTGAAATGCTTTAATCCGCGTGGAGGTCGCAACTGTTCAGGCGACACTGTGGTCAAGCACTAGTAAGATATTTGGTATCTTGGAACCTAGAGAAGTATGCAGGCATCAGCTACCCATGGAAGACTACAATCAGCATATTTTTTTCAGCGAGATTGTGGGAAAGTGAGAACTCATGTTTATTAATTTATATGTGTTTGAGGTGTAATGCGTCCGGTTACACGATCACTCAGTATAGCGAACATCGCTTGGCTGTGGCTCTTCTGTAGTAGGTTGGTGCAAAAACGATGAAATATTCCCAGTTGCCCATTGGCTGCGAATACTGCGACAGCCTCAACCACTGCGCAGAGCCCGATCCACATGTGGCACTACGTAACGACGCCACGTCAGATTAGCCCAGCAACTTGGCCAGTCGCGTCTCGCGTCGGGTGCAATCTGTTTCTGGCTTGTCAGAGGGCTGAAAGCGAGGTGTGGCGAAATAAAGACGAGCGCTCGAGTTGGCTCTCCCCGTTGCAGCATGAGGCCCCTACTGGTTACCCTATATCCTGCATCCACCAGCAAAACTGGGGCAGAATGGGAGGAAGGATTCTTGCGATTGGCTTTCTGGTGGTCACCGGGCAATCGGCCGCTCCACCAGCAAAGAGCGAGGGAGGCTCAAGAATCCCATGGGGTCCCTCCCTAGAAACTGTCCCTCGAGATCATCCCCTGCTCTTATCCAACATCAAGAAAGAACTCCCTCCGAGTCGCATCGCCAGCGACGTTGTGAGTGTCGGGTGACAGAGGTTACAGTTCTTCAGTCCACGAGTACTCCATGGCGGCTTTTCCCAAACCATTTTTGCGGCCGATAGGATGCACATGTTCGTTCTGAGCACTGCCTCTACCGAAGCGTGTCAACGCGTTAGCTTCAAATCGAGCCCATGTCGCAGCGCCGTTTTTCTTACTCGACGTCCGAAGTATTCCTACAACTCTCGAGTGTGAACGATTTCTTGTTCGAAACTAGTAGCTTCCGAATGCGTGCATTTTCTGCGACTGAAGACGCACATGAATGGCTGCCAGCTGCGTCCCGCACATCTTCCTCCTGGAAAATAAGCATGACGTTGCGAAGCTGCCAGTTTCCCATGCCAGACATGTAAAATTAGGGAAATTCGAAAACGTAGGCGTCAACTCGTCTGACGTGTTGGGAGAGACAGTAACAAAGAAGCTGGGCGAAATTATGGCCGAAAGACGCGGTACCACGTCCCAGAAACAATTTACGGGGGAGAAACAGGGTTACCCAGAAGCAAACAGTTCGCCAGCACGGCGAGATTCTCAAAACGTTCGCGCACGGACTCCAGCGGACCCCTCGGGAACTGGGAACAGTAAAGAACGTCGAGAAAGGCGAAGGTCGAGAGGCACTTCACTCGTAACGGACGAATTAGCCTCAGGAGCGATGGCCATGGCGGCAACAGCAGCGACAGAGCGGCCAGTCACACCGAGGTCCTCCACTTTCCCATTACCGTCCGCCTCTGAGCCCCCACTCGCTTCGGACTTGCCCAGAGCGTCAACTGCGGACCTTGTGCCGTCGTCGGCGGGAGTCGCCGCCGCACGCGGAAGCGCGCCGGGAAAGGAGCGGCGCAAGTCGCGAGGCGGCTCGATGCTGCTCGACGAGATGCTGATGGAGGACCCCCCGCTGGCAGTCAAGGCAGTGCTGGACCGGGGGAGGTCGTATTCGAGGGGAGGGTTACCTGCTGCTCTCGCTGCCGTGGCGGATGAAGCGTCTGCTAGTGCTGCTGCAGCTGCAGCTTCGGCTGCTGCTGGGTCTGCTGGTACTGCTGGCGGTGCTACTGGTGGTGGCTTGCGAGAGGTGCGCCCCTCAGGAAGAATACTGTTTTCCTCCTCACCTCGTTCCTCGTTCCTCTTTTCCCATGTTTCTTCGTCGGAAGCCGGTGTTCGAACCAAAAGGATAGGCTCGTTTCCACCCTTCTATGTTAGTAACGACCGCTTTGATATTAAATGCTCCCACCATAAAACCACGTTTCCTCTGTCCACATGTGCACCGTTCTCCACCCCTTGCAGTCCCACCGCAAGCCCCTGCTTGCTCGCCATCGCCATCGCTCCGTCTCCATGACTGCCGCTGAAATCGCCAGACTTGCTGTTGAAGACGCGGGTTCGAGCCCTGCCAGAGACCGCAGCCCCAACCGCCACAATCACCCTCTCCGCAACAGCTCTCCCCTCGTCCTTCTGGCGGGCAACAGTCCAGCACGGTACTTAAATTCTCCTGGAGCGAAGCAAGGCTATAATCGTCCTGTACGTTGCTCTAGCGCGGAGGGAGAAGGCCCGGTTGATTGTGGCGACTTTGAGTATCAGAGCGGTTCTGCTGCAAGGGGCAACGCCACCGCGCTTGGTGTCTCAGCTGTGAGAAATGCCCGGAACAAGACAGGAAGGGAGCAGCTGGTGTGGCTGAACCAGCACCAGCAGCACCACCTTCACCAGCAGCACCAGCAGGAGGAGGAACAGTGGGAGGAGCAGCAGGAGCCAAGAGACCAACAGCAAGGGAAACAACACTCTGATCTTTATCACCGAGCGAATGAGCATCCGCCATCCCAACCGTCGGCAATGTCTCGACAGCAGTACCGAACGACTGGTCATGGGCATGGGCATGGTCATGGGCATGCTCGTTCCGCCTCAGGTCCCGTCTCCTTCCGTGCTCCCCCTTCCAATTCCTCTCCCTCGCCCCCGCGCCGGCTTGCTCCCACTAGCCGCCTTGGTCAATCCGCCCTGTCTGCTGCTGCAGGGGCCGAACACAGGCGTCAGCAGAATCAACATCAACAGCAGCAGCAGCAGCAGCAGGAGGAGGAGGAACAGCAAGAGGAAGAGGAACAGTGGGAGGAACAGCAGGAGGAACAGTGGGAAGAACAGCAGGAGGAAGAAGAACAGTGGGAAGATCAGCAGGAGCTAAGGGACCAGCGGCAAAGGCAACACCGCTCTGATCTTTACTACCAAGCGAATGATCATCGGTCCGCCTCAGGTCCCGTCCCCTTCCTCGCTCCCCGCTCCAACTTCTCCCCCTCGCCCCCACGCCGGCTTGCTCCCACTAGCCGCCTTGGTCAATCCGCCCTGTCTGCTGCTGCACAAGCCGAACACAGGCCACAGTATAATCATCACCACCACCACCATCATGATCATCATCAGCAGCAGCAGCAGCAGCAGCAGCAGCAGCGTGCCGTCTATGGACAAAGTAACCGAAAGGAGAAGTTGCTGATTACCAGAGGGATTGGGCAGAGGGACGAGGATGAGGGTGAGAGCGAAGGCGAGGGCAGGGAAGAGTGGGTGGAGGGCGAGGGCGAAGGGGCGGCAGGGGACGCGGAGTGGGTAGAGGGGGGCGCGGAGTGGGTAGAGGGGGGCGCGGAGTGGGTAGAGGGGGGCGCGGAGTGGGTAGAGGGGGGCGCGGAGTGGGTAGAGGGGGGCGCGGAGTGGGTAGAGGGGGGCGCGGAGTGGGTAGAGGGGGGCGCGGAGTGGGCGGAGGGGGGCGCGGAGTGGGCGGAGGGGGGCACGGAGTGGGAGGGGGAAACGCCGAAGCATCCCACAGACCGGTACCAAGAAGACACAAGACGCTGGGGCCGTGGCCCCAAGTCTGCTGCTTTTGAGGCACCTCAGCCCAAGGATCCCGAAGACCGGTACCAAGAAGACATGAGACGCTGGGGCCGGGGCTCCAACCCTGCTGCGACGTCAAGTCAAGGGCAACCCTCCCAGCTCCACTACCTGCCGTACCTTCAGCAGCGGCTGCAGCAGCAGCAGCAGCAGCAGCAGCAGCAGCAGCAGCAGCAGCAGCAGCAGCAGCAGCAGCAGCAGCAGCAGCAGCAGCAGCAGCAGCAGCAGCAGCAGCAGCAGCAGCAGCAGCAGCAGCAGCAGCAGCAGCAACAGCAGCGCCTTTCCCAGCGTGCAGTGGGGGTCCCCTCGCATGGTCGGCCCCGCCGTACCGTGTCTGAGCTGCCCTCAGCTGTCCTCAGCAGCGATTTCTCCTGGGAGAGTGGCCGCACGGTTGCACACTCTCGCCTCCGAAACTCCTCTGTTGATGCTTCTTGCTCGCCCACCTACACCCACGCTCACTCCCACCCCCACTCACGCTCTCACGCCCACCCTCACGCCCACACTCACTCTCACGCTCACAACTCTCTGACCCACTCTCACTCGCGCGCTCATTCCCACTTCCGTTCACCCAGCTGTCATTTACCTTTCAACTGCCAGCAATTCTCCTCCTCGGAATCCCCTGGTGGGGGCTATAATGATCACAGGTCTTCCCAAACCAACGGCCCAGGAGATGGGGCCTGGGGGGAAAGAGAGGAGGACGACGAGGAGGACGAGGATGAGGAGGGAGAGACGCAAGACACAGCGCAACGGGAGTATTTACACGACTCGGATCTGTATGGGGATGATGATGCTGTGGGTGACGTCACGGATGATGCTATGGATGACGTCACGAGTGGGGCATGGAGAGGGGACGAGGTGCAAGGGGAGGAGCGAGCGATGATGTCAGCAGCAGCTGCTGCCATGCTGGACCTCGAGCTGTCTGACTCAGCACAGGAAACTGCCACGGAGGATGAATGGATAGGGTCAGGGCGAGGGAAAGGGAGCCGTGGAGATGCTTCTGGTTTCGGTGGCTCTGGTCGTTTGGATGGATTCTATGGTGGTTTGAGGACGGCTGGAGGGGAGAGGGGAGCCCAACAGAGGGATGCGGTGCATGGGGAGGTGAGGGAGGAGAGGAGGTTAGGTGAGACGAGAATGCGTGCAGAGGTGACTGGAGGTCTTATGAAACGGCTGATGTTTGATGGAGAGGGTATGGAGGGGGAGGATGATGAAGACTGGCAGGCGGGGAAGCAGCAGCAGCTGAGGAAGCAGCGAGTTCAGCAGATGCAGCACCAGACACATGAGCCGCAGGAGGAGGAGGAGGAGGAGGAGGAGCAGGAGCAGGAGCAGGAGCAGGAGTGGCAGCAGCAGAGGAAGCAGCAACAGCGAAGGATGCTGCAGGGAAGTCAAGACCCGTCCCACCGAACCAGCGTGCGAGGTGCATGGGACCCAGACCACGCACAAGGCCTGAACTCGGGGCACACACAAGGCGTGAGGCTGCCCCGCGCGCAAGGGCTGAAGCCGGGCCACGCCCGGAGCTTCTCGGCAGGCTATGTCCTCGGGCTAAAACAGCCAGGCAGTCGCGTGGAGAGCATGGGAGAGGGGAGGAATGAGGAGGAAGAGGAGGAGGAGGACGACGAGGAAGAGGAGGAAGAGTACCAAGAGTGGAACGATGAGGAGGCTCAAGAGTGGGATCAAAAGGGTTTGGAGGAAAGTGAAAGTGAGAGTAGTTCCAGAGGAAGGGGCTTCAAAGGAAGGGGCACTGGAGACCCGAGACCGTTGACCCCTGTGGGGCGGTCAGGTGGAGGGGAGTGGCAGAGGGAGGAGCCTTCTGAGTCGGCTGTTAAGGGCATGAATTGGCGTGAAAGTGGCGGTCGAAATTCCAGACCCTTCACCCCTGTGCGGCGGCAGGGGCAGAAGGAAAATTTGGAACGGCAGGAGCGGCAGGAACGGCAGAAACAGTCGGAAAGGCAGGAACGGCAGGGGAAGAAAGGAGAAGGCGCTAAGGATAAGAGAAGACGGGAAGAGGGAGAGGGCAGCAAGGGCAAACGCAGAGAAGGGAGAGGAGAGGAGGGCCGGGGTAAGGGCTGGCGGAGCAAAAGCTTAGGAGGGGGGTTTGGAGAGAGATTGTTAAATGGCTGGGGTGGGCAGGAGGACAGGGATGAGCGCAAGGTGGGGCAGAGGGGGGATGGCAAGTGGAAGGCAGATGGGGAGGAGGCGAGAGTGAAGGGAAAATGGAAGGTGAATGAGGAAGAGGTGAGAGAGGCTTGGGACGCAGTGGGAGTGATGATGAGGGGAGGTGTGGAAGGGCGGAGAGGGAAGGGTGCGGGACGAGAGGAGAGGGGAAGGGGACAGGAGAAGGAGGAGGTAAGGCGAAGGGGAGCAGATGCGGATGATGCTTCTTTTGGGAGTGAGAAGGGAAGTGGCTCTGCAATGGGGAGTGTTCAGAGGGACTGGAGCGCCCAGTGTGTGCAGAATGACCGGAGTGAGAGGAGTGAGAGGAGTGAGAGGAGTGAGAGGAGTGAGAGGAGTGAGAGGAGCAGTGAGAATGGAAAACGGAGTGCGCGGGAGAGTCATGAGGGTGGGAATGAAAGAGGTTTTGGGGAGGGAGGAGAGGGGGAGGTGGGAGGTGATGCGATGGTTGCTGAGAAGGAACATAGGCAGGGGCAGCAGCAGCAACTACAGCAGCGAGAGAAGGAGCAGGAGCAGGAGGAGCAACCAACGCCACCACCGCCACCACCGCAGCCAAAGTCCCGGCTGACTCGCCTCCCCTCTGCATCCCTGCTCGCATTTCATCTGGACACAGGCACTCCCCTCCCCCTCGCCTCGGTCGTTATTCCCCCCGACATTGCCGATTTTCTCGATGCTGACCCGACGGGCAGCCTCAAACGGGCAGGTGAAAGTTTTCTCTCAGGGAAAAGCTCTACCTTCCCTGGTGATCCTGCCTTCCCTGATCCCACTCATAATGACAAGGATTCAATCACTGCGGCTCTTGCTCCCACCGTTCGAGCTTGTACCACACCAGAGGCAGCTAATAACGAGTCTGCTGGGGCATCTGCTGGTAACCGCTTGGCACGAGTGCAAAAGAAGAAGAAGGCTAGTGCTTCTTCTGAGGCGGCTCATACCAGTAAGGCTGCTTTCGAGACTGACGCGGTGCAGGCCAGTAAGTCTGCTTCCCCTGCAGGGCAGGAGGGGGAGATGGGAAAGAGCTTGACTGTGAAAGAGCGTGCTATGAGGAAGGGTCTGCTTTCGGGGGCACTGGCAGACCTCGGGAGGGGTGGGGAAGATGAGAAGGGGAGCGATGGAGGGAATGGGAGCAGGGGCCTTGGGAAAGATGAGGGCTGGGGGGATGGAAAAGCTGTATCTGGGGAGGGTGGGAAAGGTGGGAGCGGGAAGGCTGGGAAGGGAGGCTTTGTGAAAGCTGTTACTGTGCAGGACAGGCGGAGGGGAGGGGGGAGCAATGGCAATGGCAGGCAGTATGGGCTGGATGGAGCGAGCATGAATGAGAACAGGCAGGAAAAGGGGCAGGGCAAGGGGCAGGGGAAGGTCATGATGTGGGGAAGGATGGCGAGCGTTCAAGTGCTTGGGAGAAAGTACAACGGAGAGAGGGTTGATGGAGGGGGTAGGAAGGAGCATGAGACGAGCGCTGACTGTGGTGTTGACCGTCTTGACCACGTTGACCGAAGAAGTCCTGTTGACCCGGTTGACTCCGTTGGCCAGAAGAGTCATGTTGGCCCTGTTGGCCCTGTTGACCCTGTTGACCCTGTTGACCCTGTTGACCCAGTTGACCCAGTTGACGATGATTACTTCGCTCAACGTAAGCAGGACCTGTACGGCAAGTCCAAGAGCCAGCCTGGCATACGGCCAAGAACCGCTGACCCAAACTCGCGGTCTGAAGTTTCGTCCTCGGCAACGTCCCTCTTCAAGAAAATGGTCACTGCCAAGGGGCTGAAGCACCCTGCTGGGAGCAGTAGCAGCAACAGCAGTGGCAGCAGTAGCGGCAGCAGTAGTGGCAGCGGCAGCGGTACCAGCAGCAGCAGTGGCAGCAGTGGCTTAATTAGTGGCATCAGCAGCAACAGCGGAGGCACCACAGGTGGCGGCCAAAACAGCAGCGGCAGCAGCAGCAGCCGCATCCGGCGCAGCGCGAGCAGCATTCCGGTGCGAGCGGAGGGCGGATCGAAACTCAAAGAAGGCGACTTTGTGAAGGAAGAGCTTAACTTCATCATCGACGCATTTCTGTCCGAGAAGAAAAAAGTCAACAAGCCTGGCAACAAGGACAAGAAGGCGGCTTTTCCACGGTCTGGATCAGACGATTCTAACTCCGGTTCAACAAGCTCAGGGAAGATTTCCGAGTCGACTGGAAAAAAGGAAGACAAGAAGGGAGAGAAGAAGGCGGCCTTCCCACGGTCAGGATCAGACGATTCCAACTCCGGGTCGACAAGTTCAGGGAAGAATTCTGAGTCGAGTCAGAAAGAGAAAGGCAAGGAGCCCTTTCCGCGGTCAGGATCGGATGGCTCTAACTCTGAGTCAACGGACTCAAGTAAGACTCAGAAAAAGAGAGACAAGAAGAGGCCATTTCCTTGGTCAGGGTCGGACGGCTCTAACTCGGGATCAACTGGCTCTGGGAAGGACGTAGGTGAAGGGAGGGAGGAACAGAGGGAGGGGAGAATAGGGCAGGGGAAGGAGGGGAAGGAAGGGAAGGAGGGCAAGGAGAGGAATGAAGGGAAGGAGAGGAAGGAGGGGAAGGAGAGGAGGAAAGGGCTGTTTCCGCGTGTTGGTTCTCATGACTCGGAGGAAGGTTCTCGGAAGGAGAGTGCGGCAGTGCTGTCTCTGTTTGGAAAGATGGCAACCGGTAAATTCGCGATAGCTGAGAAGCACTCTGAGAAACAGTCTTCTCAGTATGATTCCCTTCCTCCCCAGCGTCAGCAGCAGCAGAGAGAGCAAAAGGAGGAAAGAGGCGATGGATGCAATGGTTCAGAGGACAAGGAGGAGAGGGAGAGGGTCGGGGAGAAGCAGAAGAAGACAGGGGCAAAGCAGGGGTTTCTCAAGGGGCCTCTGGCTCTTCTTAACAAAGGTAAAGCAACCAGAGGAGGGACGAAGAATTCCTTACAAGCAGGTGAGGGGGAGGCTCAAAGCACAGCCCCAGGGCAAGCCTGCTGTAGCAACAGTAACAGTAACGGTAACAGTAACATGTACAGTAACACTGGTGGTAGTGCTGACACATGGGATATCTTGATGGTGGGTCCGGATGGGAGGGATCCTCTGAGTGAGGATGAGGATGAGTGTGAGAGGCTGCAGGAAGAGGAGGGGGACGTGGTTGCAACGCTGGATCAGCCGAACCAGTGGTTTCAGCAGCACCAGATGCGGCAATCCAGGCACCAATACCAGTAGTACCTTTCGCTAAGAATTTCTTGCATATCTATTCCTTGCTCTTCCAGTTTATTCGTTTAATGTTTTATACGAAAAGGGATTTATAAGTTATTTCTGCTCTTAATTCACCACAGATGTCCATTAGGATACATTAGGAGCACCCCTTACAAACAGGCTCATGATCTGGTGCACACCATTTCTCTATGTTTTCTAGTACTAAATGGAAAGTTCTGGGCTTCTAATGCTGAAATGTCTTTATTTTGCGAGTTTGTGATGAGAATCGAAACAGCTCTAAAGCAGTCCCCATCGATGTCAGCGCGCCACGTGGACCATGCCGTGGCGTCCCGTGGATGTGAAATGGCTCTATCCCCGCGCGCTAAATTGTCGCCCGTGGCCTCCGCATCCCCCTTTCTCCCCTCCCTGCAACTCTTCCCGGCCTCCCAGGGCCCACCCCGCCCCGCCTCTCTTCTTGCCTCCTAAGCCACTACCTCTCAAATTATACCTAGACTAGTTATCTCGTGTCGTTAGTACTGCAGTGGGTGACTTTTTTTCCCATCAGGCGCCTCTAGATCGCGTGGTCCGCTTTTCTTCTTCTCGCCTTTCCGCGTGGTCCTGTCACCCAGCGGCGGTGTGGTGGTAGTAGAGCATGGATCGCCTAGTGTGCCATTCCTCCGTTGCGCCGCACACACTCGCCGCGCCGTTACGCGCCGATTCGCGCGCGCGAAAAGGAGCGGTTGCAGCTGTTGCCGTGCCGCGATCAACGTCGAGGGTTAAGCTCGATGCTCACTTGGCGAGCCGCGCCCACGTGGGCGCGAAGCAGCTGATGGGTCAGGGCCTCCATTCGGCGACGGAAGTGCTGCGATCACGACACGTGGCGGGAGGGGATTCGCGCGGAAGACGAGGAGTTGTTGAGATGGTGCGTAGCGTCGTAATTAGAGGAATCTTCAAAACAGTAGAATAAGTCCGAATCACGCTTACGACACAGAAAACTGAAGCTGGCTTGGCGTTTTGCGACTGAATTCTTTATAAAATAAAATCGCGTTGAGAATAGCCTCGTAGCAGCAGTTAAAGTAACCTTTTGCGAAGGGTGCACACTGTTACAATAGCCATTCGCGACAAGTGTTCGCTTCGCTCGCGACAATATGTGTTCCAGCTCTGGCACCACATGAAGGTTTGCCGCGAAACAGCACCGCGTCCAATAATCCCCTAGGCCTAAACAGCTAGACGGGTTGCGTCAGCGGCCAGGCCGATCGCAGTTCCTAGAAATTCGCAGCGCTCTCAAGGGTCGCGGCATTCCCAAGGTTCACGGACACTCGAGGTCACGGTATTCCCAAGGTTCACGGCATTAGGTTAACTTTCACTACATGCCGCTATGGCGCGTTATACTGCTTCAGCTGCTTGGCATATCCGCGTTATTGACGACTCGGGTTGGCACCAGACGTGGCGTAATGCATCATTATAGTCTCCCTTTACCTTCACGAAATATCGGAAGTAGCATAAACACAACGGTCAAATGTTCTTTATTGTCGCTCGTAGGAGTCGCCCTGCCGTTCGTTATAGCCATTCCCGCCTGCCCCACTCGCTTCACCTCCAGCAGCAGTGGCGGCTGTGCGCTGCGTGTAGCAACGAAAAATCTCTTGATTCGAAACCTCACCACGTCGTCGTTTCTCCCATACCGAGATCCTATAGGCCACACAGCAGTCGCCACCCGACCTGCTATCCTACCTCTTCAAGAACCGCATTGTGTTCCTCGGCATGTCGCTCGTGCCCTCCGTCACTCGAGAGGCCAAATCCATTCCACCTACATTTCCCCTTCCCCCTTTCACCCACTTCTCCCCTTCTCACCCACCTTTTTCCTCCCGAACCCCGCGTCCCCCATCCCCTAACCCCCCACTTCCCACCCCCCCGCAGGTCATTCCGTTTCAAAAGGGCGAGGCGACACAGCAGCCGCATCCCGACCTGCCGTCCTACCTTTTCAAGAACCGCATTGTGTTCCTCGGCATGTCGCTCGTGCCCTCCGTCACTCGAGAGGCCAACCCCGTCCCACCTTTATTCCCCCTTCCCCGCCTTCCCCCACTTCTCCCCTTCGCCCTCTCCACTTCCCACCCACCCCTCTCCTCCCGCGCCCCACCTCGCCAACCCCTCGCCCTTTCGCAGGTCATTCCGTTTCAAAAGGGCGAGGCGACACAGCAGCCGCCTCCCGACCTCCCATCGTACCTGTTCAAGAACCGCATTGTGTTCCTGGGCATGTCGCTCGTGCCGTCCGTCACTGAGCTCATCATGGCGGAGCTGCTTTATCTTCAATACGACAGCCCGGAGAAACCCATCTACATGTATATCAATTCGACGGGAACTACCAAGGTAAAGCACTGTAGCGAATATCCGCGTTATAAGACGAGTTCTCAGACACCTCAGAAGTTGTGCCCTCCGTCACGGAGCTCATCATGGCGGAGCTGCTTTATTTGCAGTATGACAGCCCGGAGAAGCCGATTTACATGTATATCAACTCTACCGGAACTACCAAGGTACTGTAGCGTTATATCCGCGTTATAAGGGAGGCCCTCCGTCACTGAGCTCATCATGGCCGAACTGCTCTACCTGCAGTACTAGGCCGAGTTACAAGTTTATCAAGTTCATGGAAACCACCAAGGTACTGCACTGGGTATCCTCGTTATAAGACGACTCGAGATGGATGTTTCCACCTTCCCCCCCTCCCCTCCCTTTTCCTCCCGGTTCACCCTTTCTTCCACAATTTGTCCCCCCCCCTTCTGTTGCGTCAGGATGGTGAGAAGCTGGGGTACGAGACAGAGGCGTTTGCCATCTACGACACCATGCGGTCAGTCCTCCCTCCCTCTCACCCGTCTTCCATCCACCATGCGCTTCCTCCCTTCCTGCCATTTGCCCTTCGCCATCTACGGCACCATGCGGTCAGCACTCCCTCTCAGCCCTTTCCTCCCTTCCTTTTCCCCGTGCTTCCTCCCTTCCTGCCCTCTTGCTCTTTGCCTTCTACAACACCATGCTGTCGATCTTCCTCCTTGGCCTCCTCGCTCTTCTTCCCCTGCCCGCTTGGACCCTTTCTTCCTCCTCTCCTTGCTCTTTCCGCTCTGCCCTCCTTTCCTCGCCTGCTGTCCCTTCCTTTGCCCTCCTCCCCTCATTGCTCTTCCTGTTCTCTGTGTTGTCCCCACTCCCCGTATACTCCCTCTCCCCGAACCCCTCCCCAACCTCAGTTTCCCCACGTCCTCCCCTCATTTCACCCCCTTCCCTCCCACCTTTTCCCTCTCCCCTTCCCTCCAGCTACGTGAAGCCTCCGATCTTCACGCTGTGTGTGGGCAACGCGTGGGGAGGAGCAGCATTGCTGCTGTCTGCTGGCTCCAAGGGCAACCGGTCGGCGCTGCCGTCCTCCTCCATCATGCTCAAGCAGCCCATATTTCTTTCCCCCACTGTCCCCCTTTCTCCCCATATCCCTTTCCCCCACTGTCCCCCTTTCTCCCCATATCCCTTTCCCCCACTGTCCCCCTTTCTCCCCATATCCCTTTCCCCCCTCTCCACCCCTCCATTTCCCCCTGCTCCCCCACCCTTCCTTCTTCCCCACGCCTCCCCCCTCCCCTTCCCCAGCTATGTGAAGCCACCAATTTTCACTCTCTGTGTGGGCAACGCATGGGGAGAAGCAGCGCTGCTGCTCTCTGCTGGCTCTAAGGGCAACCGGTCAGCGCTGCCGTCCTCCTCCATCATGCTCAAGCAGCCCATCTCACGGTTCCGCGGGCAGGCCACTGACATTGACATCATGCGCAAGGAAGTGCGGAACGTGAAGACAGAACTGGTGAGTTTAAGAGGGAGAGTCATTTACTTTCACAGGCCACCGACAGTGAAGGCCACTGATATCGACATCATGCGCAAGGAGTGCGGAATGTGAAATCAGAACTGGTGAGTCGTTGAGAGGGGAGAGAGTTTTGACTTGACTTGAAAATCTCTTGCGCATGTGAGGGGGCACTGAGTCATACATACCCTCTGGACAATAAGAGGGGCCGCTGACTCGTACAGGCCACTGACTCATACAGGCCACTGACTCGTACAGGCCACTGACTCATACAGGCCACTGACATTGACATCATGCACAAGAAAGTGGGGAAACCTTTGTGTGTTTGACATGTCCCTGTGTATTTCAGGTGAAGCTGTACTCGCAGCACACAGGCAAGTCAGAGGAGACGATCGAGCTCACTTCTAAGGAGACTGTCTTTCCCTCTTTCCTTTTGTGTGTTTGACATCTCCCTATTCCTCCCTCCAGGTGAAGCTGTATTCACGGCACACAGGCAAGTCAGAGGAGACGATCGAGCATGACATCCGGCGTCCCTTGTACCTCACGCCTGATGCTGCTGTGGAGTATGGCATCATTGATAAGGTGGGTGACTAATGAGGCATGCTGTGACATGAACGTGTTGCTGATGGCTGTACCTGGCTGGGTGGCCCTTGTACCTCACGCCTGATGCTCTTGTGGAGTATGGCATCATTGATAAGGTGCGTGAGATACACTGTAGTAGTTGTGATGGCACTGCGACTGTGTTGCTGACAGTGTGTAGGCCTGCTTTGCTTGGGTGTCCCTTGTACCTCACGCCTGATGCTGCTGTGGAGTATGGCATCATTGATAAGGTGCGTGAGAGATACTACTGTAATTCTGTTGGCACTGTGAATGTGCTGCTGACAGTGTGTAGGCCGGCTTTGCTTGGGTGTCCGTTCTGATGCTGCTGTGGAGTATGGCATCATTGATAAGGTGAGTGTGATACACACTGTTGCCGTAGGTCAGACAGCACTGTGCTGTTGACTGTGTTTAGGTCTGCTTTGCTTGTGTGTCCCTTGTACCTCATGCCTGATGCTGCTGTGGAGTATGGCATCATTGATAAGGTGGGTGAGACACACTACACAAATGTGGCATTGTGAATGTGCTGCGAATGACGGTGTTTAGGCCTGCTTTGCTTGGGTGTCCCTTATACCCCACACCTGACGCTGCTGTGGAGCATGGCATCTTTGATAAGGTGCGTGAAACAACCTTGTTGTGATGGCGCTGTGAATCTAGTGCTGATCATGCTGGATTCTTGCTTTCTATTTCTTTTAAGATTGCTGCTCGAATTGTCGTCTTTTGTCAACAGATTGCATGCACGTTTCATTGTGGTATGCTCCGTTGTTGTTGTTGTTGTTGGGTGGCTGGTGCTGCAGGTTCTCGACACTGATGCGAAGAATGACAGTGTTGTCGACTCCCTTCGCAAAAGGCAGCTTATTTAGTCAGTGGTTGTAGCCCTGTAGGATTCATTTACTGTAGTAGGCATTTTTGTATTCTGTCATATCCTCCAACAAAAGTTTCAGAGCAGCAGCAGCAGCAGCAGCAGCAGAAGGAAGGTGATGTAGAACAAGTCACTGGGCTTGCGCACTGGCATACAAATACTTTCAACTTGGTTCGGTCGTATTGGGAAGCTACACCGGTATCCTTCCTACCCGACATCCTGTACCGTGCCATACTGGGACCATCACATGGTAGCGCAGACGATCAAAAGTCGGTCACCACTCGGTAGCCTGAGCCATCAACTTCATGTGCCTGGCCAGGTAGTTTGTTCTTGAATCCTTGTACGGTATTATTGCCGCGTGTGTACAGCTGGAATGAAAGCAGAGCCCTTTACATCACACGTTCCTCTGTCTACCACACATGTTTCCAGCACATGCTGTCACCCGTGAACCGATATATTTCACAATCGCGGAACCGAGTGACCTAGTGCTGGAAAAGCTTATTACAAAGCTCCTTGTACCTGTCATAGATCACGTCACGCCGCATCTTCATCGTTGCAGTGAGAAGACCATTGTCCACCTGAGAGGAAAACCATGCAGGGCTTGTCAGCAAAAGTCCACACACACAGAAAGTCCACATTGACCTGGTTGTGTCTTAACATAGATCGATAAGCTTACTGTGAATGGTTCGTCGAGGAGTGCGAACGGACCAACCCGCTCATGTGCCAAACAACCTGCCTCCGCTAAACTGAAAATAGGGGTAGGCAAAAAGATGGACCAGTCAGATTATTCAGGATATAGTGTCCAAGCTGACAACGTGTGACAGTTGGTTTGAATACAACCTGCAATGATGACATTGCAGAACGAGACAGCTGTGCTAATCAGGACCAGACTAGCGTACCAGCGGGTGAGCTCTTGTCGAATAATAGTCCTCTGCTCCTTTTCTGTCACCTCGCCTCCCTCCATCCCCTTCTCTGCTCTCATGCTTGCCACTGCAGCCTCCATCTCCTCCTCATTCACCACAATCAGCGCTCCAAGCTTTCTCTCGTCCTGGAAAAAAACAAGATAAGCAAGCCTCAGGATCTCAGCATATACATACCGAAATCGATGGTTAAAAATATATATCTCAGCGTAGGCACACCGAGATTGCTTGCTTACACATGCTGTACCCATGCTGCATCCATGCTGTACCTGACCGACGAGCATTATTTGGCGGATGACAGGGCTGCTAAGTGCAGCCTCCTCGACAAACGCAGGCTCCACATTTTCACCTGCTCGAGAAAAGGTCAAGATCGTGAATCAAAAGTCAGCCACACACGTTAGGTCAAAGTTGCAAAAAAGTGTGTGCTTGTCAACTGTCCAGTCACACGCACCACTGGCAAGAACAATGGTATCCTTTGCTCGGCCGTCAAGGACCAGAAGGCCTCCAGCATTCCGTGCAGCGCCAACAGGAGTCAAAGGAGAGATCCATCCAAGGTCGCCCGTTGAGAACCAACCATCCTTGTCAATTGCCATTGCTGTGGCCGCCGGGTTCTGTTAAACACCAACAAAGCCCGTGCACATAAGTTATGTCACACACAAGGTGCAAAAATCCTGGAATCGGAAGACAAATTTCCTTCTCTGAGCACCTTAAGTCAAATTACAATGTTGAAGGACCGGAATCATGCCGAGGGGAGACTGGACTCACCTTGTAGTAGCCCTTCATCACTTGGGGGCCACGTGCCTTGACCAGCCCTCGCTGGCCTGCAGGGAGACCAACTCCCGTCTCCAGGTCCACAATCTTTATTTCTGTTTCTGGGACGGGACTCCCAATGCTTCCCAATGCCTGTTCCACATACAAACAGAAAGTCAATTCTGGTCTCAGGGCCTACAGTAGCAAGCATGTGACAGTTGGAAGCTTCAAGGTGGCTGCACTTACGTTGTTGTAACTTCGCCGGCATGTCAGCACAGGAGAAGTCTCTGTGAGGCCATATCCATTGAGCAGAGTGATCCCAACTTGCTGAAAATACAAGAGCCATCATAGAAAACGTGACAACGACCCAAGAGGTTAACCAACATTTATGATAATGATAACCTTGTCAACCAACAATGAGCATTGGGAACTCCCACATGGCCACTCCTTCATTGGGCAATCCATACCTCAAAGAATTTGTCCACATGTGATGGCAAGCTGCCGCCACCACTCACAGCTGCCTGCATGCACAAGCATCATCGCAAAACGTGAGGCAATCAGCAAAACAGCAATCAGCAAAAAGCAGCACGAGCATTGTTGAACCAGCTAACTTGATACGCCATACCTTCTTTATGCCAATCGCAGCTTTGACCTTAGTGTACAAAAGCTTCTCAGCTAGAAGGTGGAGTGGCAGCAGCACCAGCGCCAACAGCCCAGCTCCCAGGCATTCTGCCACAGCCTTCATGAACATCAACCCCTGAACGTTTTCACGTGAGCGGAGGACAGCCATTCCTGTCCAGATGCGCAGAGCTTCCTTGTGAAGAGCGCAGACTTTTATCAGAAACTTGGCAATTGCTGCTCTGGCACCAGATGCTGCAGCAAGCTTCTTCTGGACTCCACTGCAAGGCAAACACAGGACCTCATGAGTGGAAAGAATTCAGTGTAGCTAGATGTTGATTAAAGATACAATTGGCTGTTGCTGTATTACCTGTATAGAACTTCAAAGACAAGTGGAACAGCCACAAAGTAGTCCGGAGGGTGTTTCATCAAATCTTCCTGCAAACAGAATCATACTGGTTCATTTCCGCGAACAAAAACTGTAGAGAAGCTTGAGGATAGAATGCGATCATGCACTGGGCGAACCTTGAATGACTTGACATTGCTGTAGACGAGCTGGACGCCACGGCTCAGTAGAAAGTACTCGCATGAGCGTTCGTACATGTGCCATGGGGGTAGCAGGCTCAACGTGACATCACCAGCATTGGGCGTCAGGACACAATCAAAGTTGTTTACCTGCGCAGCATGATCGTGGCAAGGGATGTGAGAATGCATGCGAGAACAATAAAATTAAAAGAACCTAGTGAAAGACTCATGGCGAAAGAGAGGCAATTTGACAAAAGAGGAGACGAAATGGGAGGAGTGACGGATGTAGCCTGGGATAACGGGAGGAAGAGCAGGAGGAAGCTGCAGAAAAGGGAGGAAAACGTTGATGTGACTGGCCTGATGCATCAGGTTGCTGTGTGTGAGCATCACTCCCTTGGGATTCCCGGTCGTCCCAGAAGTGTACACCAATGTTGCCACATCATCAGGCCTGGAGGCTGGACGAGGCGCTGCGCGCGACAGAGCATCATGCGTGAGCCTGCTGGCACTCCCAGCAGCCGAGACTTCTTCAAACGAGTACAGAGAAAACCATTTGGAGCAAGTGCTGCTGGTCTTCCAGTCAGTGTTCGCTTCCTGGCCTTTACCCACTGGAGGCCAAAGGACAACTGCAAACTTGACAACGTCTTTCACTGAAGAAGTTTCGAGGAAAGGCGCAATGTGCTCAAGAACCTCTACGTTGTCCACGATGACAGCGGTACTGAAATGAAAAACATTCACAAAAAACCGAGTTTATTTTTCAAAACCATTCGGAAAAACTAACTGACGATCAAACGAGCGGAAGAAGCTCTGACGAACCTGTCCGAGTTTTCCAAAATGTGGAATAATTCCGTTCCTGAGGACTTCGCTCCTCGAACAGCGTCACGAGCACCAATATCCATCACGCCTGCTCGCACCTCAAAGCGCATGATCAGATAACGCTCGACCTTAAAAATCCTCGCATGACACCCCAGACCCCAAAACAAGGATCATCCCAGGAAATTGACTCGCCTTGATCAGCGATAAGCCATCGGTGCGAGTTCTCAGCAAACAGCGCGGCGCACTCTCCCTGCTTCAGCCCATAGACACGAAGACCTTCGCCAAAATCATTAATTGCACTCTCGAGCTCCGAAAACGTCAAGCCTCGCTTTTGTCCGTGATGCGGATCGAAAAGAGCGATCTTGTCGCCATACTGCTCCGTGAGAGTTGGCCAAATGTCTGGAAGGACCTTCCACCTTGTCGCGGTTGACCCACCCTCATCAGGTGTCGGGAACACAACAGGTGGGAAGGAACCTTCAAGGCTACTCGGAACCTGCAGGTAGCAACCCTAGCGATGAGAAACGGACTAACTAGAACGCGTGAATTCAATGGAGTTGACCCTATAAGCCTACGCATTTACCTCAAGAACGGAGCTGACTTTCAGCGAAGTGAAATTACGTCGAGCTTGTCCTCTGCTGCTGCTTTGCGAGCACTTCAAATACTTGTCTCCGAAAAAACCAAGTCGTTTACTATTTTCTACTATCGAAGGATTCCTCAACGATAGACTTGCCAGGCCCTGGTGAGCAGTAGTGCGCAAAAGCGCGGCCATGGCTTCAAAGACGAAGTACGACGCGCAAGCACGAGCTTATTGGCAACAACCTGGACAGACGCACCAGCTTAGAGCTCTACACGTAGGTTCCACCAATGTATTTACGCGACGTAGTTTCTTCAAGCTAAGAGCCCGAATTCGTCGGATGGAGCACATCAAGACTGGCGTATGGAATAGCTGGGGTCGGCTAGACGAGAATCAGAAAACACTCCCATCTTTGGTGTCCCTGGCAAGACTGTCCATTCCGACGCTGGAGCGGCACGTGAGCTCCGACTCGCTCCAGGCCAGCCAGGCATCGACATGGCTCTCATGAGCCACAAGCATTGCTCGCCAATGAAATTTCTAGACGCACCTCCGACCAAACTGCAATTTGGCGTGGCTGGCGAAATGGGCTTGCGAAGGCCAAGCAAGAAGCAATTCGAGCTGCTGTGAACCAATTCCGCACCCCAAACCATCCCAAATCCCTTGAACCACGGACGACCGTTTTGGTCTGGATGCAATGATGGTGGGATGAGTGATGGAAAACCATCGAGACAACACGTGAGAGGGGCAACAGCCAATCTGTGCATTGTGCATTTTCCTGCCTGGGCTGGAACACACAAACTGCGCGTGTGTTGCCCGAAGCTGAAGTTGGGCAGAGCGAGAATCTAGGAGGGCTACGAAATGGCTCGCCATTCGCTGCCTGCGGCAAAGCGGCTTGCCATTCGACAATTGCGGCTAGCGTGGGGACCACTGCGCTCATGCAGCCTCTCGCGTCTCGCCTTGCGGGAAGACCGCATGTCGCAACCCGTGCTAGGAAATCTTCGCTGGGGCAATTTTGGCAATTTGAGTAGAGTGCCGCACAGACTGTGTACACGTTTGAAGGCTGAGCGGATAGGTTTCTGTATAATATACTGACTTAGTCTGTCAACTTATGCCTAGAAGTAAAACTGTAGATATGAAAAGAACATGGAAGCACAAACTGTGCTCCACAAGCCCCATACACATGTAACCCCGCCCTAATTTAATCAGCTACGAAACCAATTGACGAAGGATGTGGATAAAGGTGTACCACCACTTGTTGCCACAGGAGACGAGGAAGAGGGGGATGATACAGAAGAAAAGGCCTTAGCAGTTGACTGTACCCTCTGCCACATTTCCTCCCCCACCACGCAATGTGCGGATTGCGAGAATGTAAATGCCTGGAACCCATCATTCTCAGCAGCCTTTGTCTGCACAATCCTTTGAATAGAAGAGCTAACTTTGGCAGAAAAGGACTGGAGCAGCTTCACCTGGCCAGGAGTGCAGCTCCGGTAGCTGGAGCGGAGGCACCGAAGCAGAGGGTCCTGGGTACCCTTGGGCCTGGGTGCGAGGGTCAAACTGATGGCTTTGTAATCCGACAAGGAGTTGACAATGAGCATTGGAGAGCGCGCGAATTGCAGATTGTACTCCGGAAAGAAGCACTTCCATGTTTCGTTGGTCTTCTTCATGGCTGCATAGGATGTGGGCGAGTCCAAGGGAGAAGAAGAGCGAGGAGAGAGAACATGTAATCAGAGAGGAAAAGTAAAGCAGGAACAACTATTTGAGAGAAAGTAGAGGAATCTTTTAAGCAGCAAAGCTACAAGTAAGAAAGAGCCTGATTTATTATTGTTTGCATTTGGTTTGAGCATTAAATTGAATATTATTGATGGCGGCTACTGCTGGACATCCAGCCTACAAGAAAGATGTGCTTGCTTCACTTTTATAATTTCGTGCTCATTGCTCATTGGTCGTTGGTCACTCACCTCGCTTGCACTCAGCGTTGATCCCTATGCGTCCCATGTCATGCACGCCAGCCATCTGCTGCACCTTCTGCCGCATACTGTACTGCCCGTCCTTATCCGCCACGTCTGATGGGAGGGATCAGGCAGGGTATGGAGGGAGCGGATGCCAGACCAGATTGTCTCCCCAGCAACGCCCACCCCAGATGAAGCCTGCCCCGAGTGAAACCAGTAGGTGAAGCCTACCTGGGAAGTAGCCTCCGTCCATGAAGCACTTGGTGGTGATGATGTATTTGGCCATCCACTTTAAGATCTAATCGATTGATGTGAACTGCCTTCCATCCCAAGTCAGGCCTACCCCATCCCAAGTGAGACCTACCCCATCCCAAGTGAAGCCTACCCCATCCCAAGTGAGACCTACCCCAAGTAAAGCCTACCGGGAAAGTAGCCTCCATCCATGAAGCACTTGGTGGTGATGTTGTAGTTGGCCAGCCACCTTGAGATCTGATCGCATTTGATTGACGTTGCAACGCCGCCCGCACTGCAGCCGCCCACCAGCATTTGCTTGCCCGCGTTCAGCCCTTGCCGAGCCAGCAGGTCTGCAGGGAAAGAGGTCACAAGGGGTTGGGGTGGTTTTTGAGGCGCCTCAAAAATCCCACCAGCATTTGCTTGCCCGCGTTCAGCCCTTGCCGAGCCAGCAGATCTGCAGGGAAAGAGGTCGCAATGGGTTGGGGTTGTTTCTTTTGAGGCGCCTCAAGAATCCCACCAGCATCTGCTTGCCCGCGTTCAGCCCTTGCCGAGCCAGCAGGTCTGCAGGGGAAGAGGTCACAAGGGGTTGGGGTTATTGAGGCGCCTCAAAAATCCCACCAGCCCGCGCCGAGCCAGCAGATCTGCAGGAGAAGAGGTTGTAAGGGAGTTGGGGTCGAGAAGCGGATTGTGAAGGGAGGGGAGGGGAGGGTGGTCAATGGATTGTGTTTTGTCGGAAAAACATGTGGTCAGTGAAGAGGCGTTTCTCATAATACGTGCCTCGTTAAGAGTTGTTTTGAGAAACGAATGGGACTCGCGATATACCTTGCTGAGTCCAGTCAGAAACACCTCCTCCTCAAAGATTATGAGTAACTTACGGAAGTAACGCGTCTAGTCGTTTTATGTTTCCCTCATTTTTTTCTCTCAGTGTACCTTGCAATGTCCCCTTAAATTCTGTTTTTGAGATGTGATGCCTCGAGAATAGTTTACTTGAGGAATACGAGCAGCGTCAAGAGAAAGAGAGGACACTCGCCACGCACCTTGCAGCGTGCCTTGCAGGTTCCAGTGCCCGCGGAAGTAGAGCGTGCGCCCCGTCTCCGAGTTGGGTCTACGAGCAACGTAAAGGAAAAGAGAGAGTATGACTCGCCACCTACATTGCAACGTGCCTATCTGACACGCTACGCACCTTGCAGCGTGCCCTGCAGGTTCCAGTGCCCACGGAAGTATAATGTGCGCCCCGTCTCCGAGTTTGGCGGCAGCTTGCCGTAGCCGCCGGTGAAGGAGCTGCCGTCGCAGTACTTGACGAGCACCAGGTTCCAGTTGTAGAACGCGGGATTCACGGCGCTGTCCGTGCTGCCCACGCCGCCATATTTCACGTCCTGTTGCGGGGAGAAGAGAGCAGGCGGGGAGAGAGGAAGGCGGGAACGAGGAGGAGGTGGAGATTTAAACGAACCGGACAGGGAGGCAGCCAATGCAATAAGGGTCGTGAGGAGTTCGGGAATGGCATGGCTCCGCAATACGCGGTGTTGAGGTCGACTACCACGCAAGCGGGTCCTACTTTTGTGACGCCTCTAAAGAAATCCTTCTATACGTACGGCGGCACTCTGAGGTGCTGAGGTGGGGAATACTACGTACACTGGTCGGCGGCCATTTCTTGGAGCTTCCGAGGGGCCCCTTGGCTCGGTTCGCGCACGATTTGGCGTTGAAACACCACCCTCCAGCCTGGAAATGCAGATGAAACGCAGAAGAAACGCACATGTAACGTGTCAACGGAGCAGCGCCAAAGACGTACAATAGTGCCTAGAACAACCTAGGCGGCATCATCGCACTGATATGTCTACTCCGAAAATGAATGTCTGCTGCATCAACGAAAAAGCATGAATACTCCATCAAAGAAAGTGTTGATGAGGCTTCTACTTTACACGCAAACGAGAATGCGGCACCGCTTGCTTCGAGGTGACTCTGAGTCGACTCAAAGTCACCTCCCAAGGGAGAACGCGGGGTGCTCACCTCAAGAATCATGATCCAGTTGTTGGCACCGCTGCCGAACCCGCGTCGCAGGTAGTATCCAGCAGGACTGCCGTCCAAGCACCGCGCGCGAGAGTTCTTCCGCGACAGGAGATACAGCCGTGCGACGTGCGGGCTGACGCCTGTGGCGACGGCGCTGCTCGCCTGCGTCGCAGCGTCGTCGCTCGCCCCTCGCAGCTGCGCCACACGAGGTACGCTTGGCGGACCGCCAGGTACGACGCCGATTCCACCGCCGCCGGAAGAAGAGACGTCAATGTGCGGTCCGAAAGACTCAGCGTCAACTGCACTATCTATAGTCTCGAAAGGATCTGTGACCTCTACCGAAGCCGCTTCGCCACTGGCGACAGTGTACGACGGGGTCAGGATGAAGAGTAGGAGCAGGAAGATGGTGATAAATTGGGTGAGAGATCGCATTCGCAAAAGGGGTAATCGGTCCATGTCTAAATGTGTAGGCATGCTTTAATTCACTTGAGAGAGAGACGAAAAAAGGCCGTCCTTGTTCTTTGGCGTGAAATGGTCAACTATGGCGATAAACGGCGGCGGATGTGATGAGGGAGGATTTGCTTACGAACAAGCAAATGCGTGCGAGTAAAGTGAGCTGGAATGCTTCTCTCCTGCTGTTGAATCCAGAAAGCTAATCTGCGTTTTCCACACCATTGCTCGTCCCCCTTCTTGGTTGCTTGGCTTGCTGTCAATCAATTCTGCTTGAGCGGAGAGGGAATGCTTGCTCTGTCACGAGCCGCGACCGCGACACAAGAATCTCAAGGCGGCGCGCGCATTTTCAAAGTGCGCCAACGCGAAAATGGTGAAGTTGAGAAAACTGTTCGCGTGCTCAATTGTGGGAGCGAAAGAGAGGTTACAACGAAATACATTTTTTCGAATTCCTGGTTCGCCTCGACTGACAATGTTCAAATCGCATAAACGCGATACGATTCGGTTCAGGCTGCTCCAGTCTTGGTAAACATGTTGTTGCACCTTGGAAACAGCAAAGGAAAAACTTATCTCTGTATACCGACCTTTTTATAACAGGTATTTACGGAATGCCTATCCCGCCACCACCCCCCGCAAAACATTCCGTAAGCTCTTTAGTCTAATTAGTACATTACGAACCACATAGCGCTTCGAACTCACACCTATCCGAGCGTTTTCTAACGCACTAATCCGCGGACCAGTTAGCATCGAACGCTTAGCAGTGTAGGTTTGTATTGTTATGCGACAACCGCTGTCAGAATTCAGGCTTCTGCTGAGCCGTGGAAGTCGGTCTAGCGCGTCGCGTGCTGGCGTGGAACACGGACATTTCTATTAGGATTCTTCTGCTCATTGTTAATCTCGCCTGGCTTGATCGTAGCAGCTCGTTATCGAAGCGAAGAAGGGGAATTGTGAGACGGCTTTAGGACACGCTGATCGCAGCAGGCAGTGACTCGCTTATTGCCAACAAACATGGTAAAGAAGCCGCCCGCGCTTCTTCTAGTTCATAAATCTATAACTGATGAACATTGGCATGCCAGGTTGGTGATTTGAGATGGCGTAACTGGACTGCCACAGCGTGTGCCTGCTCGGTTAGGGTTTTCTATCCGCCATAGCAACTTCTGTCAATCGGAACGCACCCGCTCGGTTAGGGTTATCTCCTAGGTTGTCCGCTGTCCCCTGCATTCACCCAAACAAGCCTTCTGGACTTGCGCCGTTTTCCATTGCTCATTCTATTGTCTTTTCTATTTATTCGTGCGACTTCTTCAACGCATTCCTGCACACGCTTCGTGGTTAATCATCCTTACAGACTAATGTGTGTGTGTGCTCTCCACACCCCCCCCCCCCCCATGCTCGACATTCCCTGTCCCTACTGCTCTGCCCAATTCGTCCCACCGTCCTCCCCCTCTCCCGCAACCAATCAGGATGGGCACACCATTCTTCTGCTGCAAACAGCTCCACAGAAATCATCATGCACTTATATCGAGTATCCCACCACAGCAGAAGCCATTGATGGTATTTCCCTGCCTTACCATTTTCCTCCCTCTGGTATATATCTCCGTATATATAGAACCATTTATGTATGTATTCACTCCAATTTCTCAATTCGAGCCGAAGTCCGTGACTTTGAACTGAATTCCAAGCCCCAACCCCGAATCCCTGAACTTGCTTAAAATCTTTGAATTCCTTCTGAGGATTCCCAAATGGCAGGACCTCAAGGGTATGCCTAGGGCTCCAACAGCGAGGGATTCGGGGACGTGAAGGATTGAAGATGACACTGCGCATGCAAACCTAAATGCTGCTCGTTCCTCTCCTCCCCATGCATGACTCGCAGGGCTGTGTGCTCTGTTCGAGCGGCGGCTCAAGGAGATGAACCCTGGGGTGAAGAACATCACGTATGACATCTCAGAGCTGTACCAGTTCATGGAGTCGCTTCCTGACCTCACTGCTCTTGTGTGAGTTCCTTTGCCATACCTCCATCTGTTCAATGCTTGCACTGTTTGAATGAAGGCGGCTCAAAGAGATGAATCCCGGGGTGAAGAACATCACGTATGACATTTCAGAGCTGTATCAGTTCATGGAGTCGCTACCCGACCTCACTGCCCTCGTGTAAGTCCCTCTGCGTATGCTTGTTCTGCTTAAGCGGAAGGCTCAATGGGATGAGTTCAAGGAAGTGAAGAACATCACGTATGACATTTCAGAGCTGTACCAGGTCATGGAGTCACTGCCCGACCTCACTGCCCTCGTGTAAGTCCCTCTGCTATACCCCCACCTTTTCTATGCTTGCTTTGTTGGAGCGACGGCTCAAGGAGGTGAAGCTAAATGAGCGAAGAACGTCACGTATGACATTTCAGAGCTGTACCAGTTCATGGAGTCACCACCAGACCTCACTGCCCTCGTGTAAGTCCGTCTGCAACGCCTCCACCTTTTATATGCTTGCGGCGGATCAAGGAAATCACTGCCCCACCTCAGCGCCCACGTGTCTGCCCCTCTGCAGCACCTTCATCTTTTATGTTTGGCCTCTTCCTGCCCCTGACCCTGTCCCTTGCCCCTACCCCGTTCCGTGCCCCTGCCTCTGGCCCGACTTTTACCTCATTCCCCACCGTTCGCTTCCTCTAGCCCTCTTCTTTTATCTCATGGTGCGTGCTGTTCCTGTCTTGTTGCGTGTGCCTGCAGGCTGGATGAGTCTATCTGTGCATACGTCCCATACGACCGAAAACGGCTCAAGGAGCTCGCCTACCAGCGGCTAAGCAAGCTAGCTGGTGTACAATGATTATTGTGAAATGGCACATCATGTGATTTGCATCATGTGTCCTCCCAATGTTTTGAGCATGGTGGCCTAGATATAGGGTAGCTCAATAAAGCAGAAGATTCTGTGGGCAATGCAATTCGTATGTAGGATTAGTGTCGTTGTCAAATAATATAGCCTGAAGTGGGTTGCCATTTATATGCATATTTAGTTATGTTAGGCTATATGGGGGTTAGTATTAGGGGGTACACAAATTTCTCTCGACACTCTTGTACTCCCCCCTTGACCTAATCACCACATCCTAGCCTAAGTATTATGACATGGTATCAGGCTAGAGGTCCTTAGGACCTTAAACCTACCTCCTTTAGGGCCCACTGTCAAATGTTGTAGCCTATAGTGAGGTTTGTCTTAGGGGGTACAAAACTTAGGGTTAGCTATATGTACCCCAACCAACATCAATGCATCATCCATTCCTCATTCTGACATGGTATCAGTTAGGTTAGGATCCTGTGGGATCCCGTTCCTCCGTTCTCCGTTCGTATCTCCCGAGCCTGATCCTACCTCTCGTTCGTACCGGTTCCGTTGTTACCGCGCCTAGTGCCGAGCCTAGCGCCCTTCCCCCCGTCGCCTAGCGCCCTTTTCCCCCGTTGCGTCGCGCCCGTTCCCCCCCGTCGAGTCGCGCCCTTTCCCCCCGTCGCGTCGCGCTCTTTCCCCCCGTCGCGTCGCGCCCTTTCCCACCGTCGCGTCGCGCCCTTTCCCCCCGTCACGTCGCCCTGCCCCGTCCCGTCGCCCTGCCCCGTCCCGTCGCCCTGCCCCGTCCCGTCCCGTCGCCCCGTCCCGTCCCGTCGCCCCTGCCCCGTCCCGTCCCCGTCCCGTCCCGTCGCCCCTGCCCCGTCCCGTCCCCGTCCCGTCCCGTCGCCCTGCCCCGTCCCGTCCCGTCGCCCCGTCCCGTCCCGTCGCCCCTGCCCCGTCCCGTCCCCGTCCCGTCCCGTCGCCCCTGCCCCGTCCCGTCCCCGTCCCGTCCCGTCGCCCTGCCCCTGCCCCGTCCCGTCGCCCCGTCCCGTCGCCCTGCCCCGTCGCGTCGCCCTTCCCCGTCCCGTCGCCCTGCCCCGTCGCGTCGCCCTTCCCCGTCCCGTCGCCCTCCCCCGTCGCGTCGCCCTCCCCCGTCGCGTCGCCCTGCCCCGTCGCATCGTGCCCGCCCTTTCCCCCGTCCCGTCGACCCTACGCCCTGGCCCGTCGCTCTAGCCCGCTCTTCCGCTGCGACTAAGTCCCACCTGCACCCTAATTTGCCTCTTACCTCCTGCTGTTACTCGCCTGCTCGTTCGCGTTAGTTTTCGCTATGGCGACTCCGCGAGTTCTTCGTTTCGACGCTGACGGTAGACCTCTTGACTTTTCCGTCTGGCTTCTTCGTGCTCGCCGTCTGTTAGAGAGTCAAGTCCAGGGGGGCGAGACCCTCTGGTCGCACGCTACTGGTGACCTCCCCGAGCCCCCCGAGCCTGCCGCTTTAGGTCCTGCCCCTGACGATGCTGCTACGGCTCGCTTTGCCCGTCAGCGCGCTGACAGGACGGCTTGGACGTCACGTGACGCTGCGGCCTGCATCGCACTCAGCAGCCTCCTCCCTGAGTCAGAGGAGGTCCACTTCACTCAGGTTCGCACCGCTGCTGCGTACCTCACTGCGATTAAGGCCCGCTACTCTACTCCCGCTACTGTCTCTCTTGGCCGTCTTTTCCTCCCGTTCCTGTTTCCTGATCTCGCCTCGTTTGAGCGCTCTGCTGACTTGATCGCTCACCTCCGCTCGCTCGACGCTAGTTACCGCGCTGCTTGCACTGAGGCACAGCTTGCACTGCTTCCTCCCCCCATGGCGATTACTATCTATTTCATCGCCACTAGCCTCCCTGACCGCCTTGCCTCCGTACGTGACGCGCTCCTGCTGAAGCACCCTAGTGAGCTGACAGTTGAGGTCCTTGAGTCTGCGCTCAAGGACGTCGAGAGCAACCTTCGCTCGGTAGCTGCCGCCTCTGGTGCTGTGCCCCCCCCACTCTTCCACGGGTGCACAGTCCCGCAGTTACCCACCTTCACTGCCTCTCTTGCCACTGCCGCTACTGACGCGACTGCAGCTGCTGCTACGACTGCGTCGCGGTCCCGCGGCAAGGGGGGCAAGAAAGGTGGTTCTGGTGGAGGTGGAGGCGGAGGTAGCGGAGGTAGTGGGGGTGCTGTTGCGACTGGCGGTGGTGGGAGTGCAGCGTCTGGAGAGACCTCTCGTGCAGCGGCTGGTGACTCCACTGCGCCTGCTGGTGGTGGCGACGCCCGAGCTCGTCAGTCGTCTCCTGTACTGCCGGCCCCGCTAGGTGGAGCAGCGGCGTGGTACCAGGCTCAGCGTCAGCAGCGGCTTCAGCAGCACCAGCAGCCCCTCTCCTCCCAGCAGCCTCAGCAGCAGCAGCGTCAGCAGCTGGCTCCGGGGTCGGGGCTGCGTCAGCCCCAGCGTGGTGCTGCTTACCCTCCCTGCACCTATCAGGTTCTGACAGGTCCTCGTCGGGGCCACCCTTGTGGCCGCTTTCACCCCCCTGGTCAGTGCTTTGCTCAGCTCACTGACACGGTCCGGTTGGCCTACGGGGTTGGCGGTCCTGCCCTTGACTGGCTTCCTCTGGTTCAGCGCTACGGCTCCGCTCTGTGGGGCATGTCTGCTGAGCAGTTAGTTGATCTGATTGGTGCTCCTCATGCTATGTATGCTGTTGTTGACTCTAGTGTTTCTGACTCTGCTTACTCTGGTGTTGTTAGCTTAGGTGCTAGCCTTGCTCAGTTGCCTGTTGCTAGTGTAGGTTCTTGTGTAGACTCTAGTCCAGCGGCTACCTCAGAGGACGGTTCGCTGTCGTTCACGCTGGACTCTGGAGCCTCTCACTGCTTCTTTCGTGACAGCACGACACTTACGCCTCTTCCTGCGCCTGTTTCTGTGGCGCTGGCTGATCCCACTTCGGGACCAGTCACCGCGCGTCACACTACCACCTTGCCGTGTCCGGCTGCTCCTTCTGGGTCTCTCACTGGGTTTCACGTCCCCTCGTTCTCCCGGAACTTGGTGGGCGTGCGACCCCTTGTGAGTCAGCACGTGGGTGTGTGGTTTGAGCCTTCTGGAGAGACTGCGGTGTGTGTTGACGGGGACTCTTACCAGCCCCTCGCCACTTTTGCTGCTGAGCCGGGCTCCGGTCTCTACACTCTTCACACTGGCCCGCGCGCTCAGCAGCGACTGCAGCAGCAGCAGCAGCCGCAGCAGCAGCAGCAGCAGCAGCAGCAGCCGCAGCAGCAGCAGCGGCAGCAGCAGCAGCCGCAGCCACAGCGGCCGCCGTCACAGCAGCCCCTCCTCCCAGTTCCTGTCCCTCCCCCTAGTCTCCTCCCTGCGTCTCACCAGGTGGTTCCGTCCTCTCAGGTTGTCGCGTCCAGTCCAGTCGCTGCGTCTTGCTCCTGTCGGTCGCTTGCCCACCCCACCGTTCTGTGGCACCACCGGCTGGGACACCCTTCTCTTCCACGTCTGCGTGCTATGTCTAGTCAGCGTCTGGTCTTAGGTCTCCCGCGTGTCTTGCCGTCGCTGCCGCCGTCCCTTGCACCACCGTGCGGTCCTTGCGTCGAGGGTAGGCTGCGTGCCACCCCTCACTCCTCCTCCCTTCGTCCGGCCACCGAGCCTTTTGAGACACTGCACTTGGACGTCTGGGGCCCCTCTCCTCGCCCTGGCCCTGAGCGTGAGCGTTTCTTTTTGGTGGTCGTTGACGACTACTCCCGCTACACCACAGTGTTCCCCCTGGCGAGGAAGTCTGAGGTGACTTCTACGCTGATCAGGTGGTTGCTTACCACCCAGGACACTCGTGGTCGTCGTGTCAGCTGTCTCCACTCCGACCGCGGGGGCGAGTTTCGCTCCGGCATTCTCGCTGGATTCTGTCGCGAACAGGGCATTCGTCAGTCCTGGACGCTTCCGGAGTCCCCACAGCAGAATGGGGTTGCTGAGCGTCGCATAGGCCTGGTCATGGAGATTGCCCGCACCTCCTTGACTCACGCCCGTGCCCCCCATTTCCTGTGGCCATACGCAGTCAGGTACGCCGCGCACCAGCTGAACCTCTGGCCACGCGTCTCTCGGCCGGAGGCTTCACCGACCAGTCTTTGGACAGGGTCCCCTGGTGTCGCGTCGAGGTTTCGTGTCTGGGGGTGCTTGGCTCTTGTCCGCGACACCTCCGCGGACAAGCTCTCGCCTCGCGCCGTTTCTTGTGTCTTCCTTGGTTTCCCCGAGGACTCCTCTGACTTCACCTTTTACCACCCTCCCTCTCACCGGTTCTTTGACTCCCGTGACGTCCGTTTCGAGGAGTCCACCCCCTACTACGTCAGGTACCCCAGTCGAGGTCTCCCGGTTCCTCCTCCCCCCCTCTTCCTGACAGCCGCTCCCCCGCCTGCTCCCCCGGTACAGCCTCCCCCCCCTGGTCCAGCCCCGTCTGGTGTGTCTCAGGCTAGCCCTCCCCCTTCGGTAGCCCCCCCTGTACAGCCTCCCTCCCCACAGTCTTCCTCGCCGCCTCCTGCAGGTGCTCCCTCTCGGGAGGTTGGTCCTGCGACTGTCCCTGTACAGGTCTCTGGTTCTGGGGGTGCTGGAGTTGGAGCTGAGCCGCGGGTTGCAGAGGACTCTTGTCTTCCGGGGGCTGGTACTGGTCGTGCGGAGTCTGGGGGTGCTGGTGCGGAGTCTGGGGGTGCTGCGTCTGGGGGTGAGGGTGTTCCTTCGGTTTCTGGAGAGCCTGGGTCTGGAGCTGGTGTTGGTGCTGCCTCTGGGGGTGGTGTGCTTGGTGCTTCGGAGGTCGACTCTGGGGCTGCCGCTGCCCCGGACACTACTCCTTCCCCCCACCCCTACCCGACCAGGTTCCAGGCTCGTGTTCGCCGTGCTCGTGAGGAGCAGCTGGAGTTGGAGAGAGAGGAGAGAGAGTTGCAGCGGCTCGAGGAGCAGGAGCGACAGCAGCAGGGGCAGCAGCCGCTGGAGCAGCAGCAGCCGCAGCAGC